TACGATGAAATAATGTTTAATAATGGTGAAATAAATTTTCTTTATAATATAAATTCAAATAAATATCGTAGAATGCATAAATACAAATGTAGCTTTCATCCAACGACATATAAAATTAGTAAGAAAGAATAGCCAAAAAATTATCGTCGGTAATGTTATAATTTTTATGTGACTAGTGGAGTCAACCTGAATACGTAGATATTTATTTTAATTCTAAAAAGGTATTCGTTTGATAAACCTTACATCCCTGAAGCTTCAACAGTCTTTAAATTCACATTAAATTTAATATACATGCTTTTATCTGAAATTGTATCAATTTCAAAATATTAAGAAGCTCCTTTAATTAAACGTAGGAAATTGCCCCACTGCTATACCAAAGCAATACAAACCTAGTCGTCCATACCTACTCGTGTATAAATTCGACGCTCATCGTCGGGACGCTTTTGTTCGATCGGAGTCCGATGAGCGAAACGTTACGCGCCCCATCGAGTGCTTACTTTCCGTCGCGCGCTCGTAATTACGCAAATGAATTCGAACAGTGGCGTTCTGGGACAAAAAAGAAAATTAAACGACCCTGATCCTAGGAGCTGCGCGCAATTACTTGGCCGCGGGCGCGGATAAGGGGAAACGGGAGCATCGCGAGGGAAGGGAAACGGCGAGCGAGAATGCAAGCGCATTCTACCGGAAAGCAGATTCTCGTCCTCTGGGAAATACGTCTTGCTTCGCCGGTGGCGAGGAAATTTAATATCCGAATCGACATTCGTGGCGTCTGTTTACGGTCGACGGCTCGTCTTGGTCCCACCCAGCCGACCGCCGACCGCCGACCGCTGCGCGTTCTCCTTTCCTCTTTAATTCCATAAATGGCAAACGTCGTGATTTATCTCGAGCATTCTCTTTCCCCTTTGAAATTTACATCCGTTCTGTCCTCGCCAACCTGTCCGAAACCAGAATCGAGCAGGATTTTAGCCAGTTTTAATATTTATTTACGTAGTATTCTTTGTTTTGTATTCTTTTCAGCGAGAAACATATTTTAACCCTTTACCCTCCAATCACGCGTAAGACTCGTGGTTAAGTTATTCGGCCAAGAATGGTGTTTGCTTTCGATTGAAATAAGCAACGAAAAGTTTAAATACTCAAAACTTTACAAGGGTAGGTTTCACAAATAAACACTTTTCTCGCAAAAATAAAATAGTAATACGCTTCGACACCTAAGATGCTACTGTTTCTGTTTCTGGCATTCTCTATTTAAATTTAAGTCGCAGGGCAAAGGGTTAAATGATAACCGCGGGAATAACGAGGATAATTGATAACTGCTTGCAAAATTTGTCACGCTCATTGGAGCCGATATTATCTTTGACAAGGTATTTCTCGACCTTCCTTTCGCTTTAACCGTGTTTCTCGAAATTTTCATCTGGACAAGACTTTGCCCGTCTCCAGTATCGAGTTAGCGACTACGAGAACGAGGAAGCGACCGTTCTCCAGAATTTATCGCTCGCTGGGACCGAGAGCAGGTGTCTTCGGTGCCATGGAAAGAAACGACAGCTGGATATCGTTCTCGTTCTCCACGGCACTTTAGAGACTTTTTTCCTCCCGAACCGCTTGTCGTCTATCCGAAGAGGCAAGAAGATTAAAACTAATCGAAATCACCTCGTGAACTTCGCTGCGTTCTCTGTTACCTCTGCTTCCGCCGACCTGTTTCGCTTGGAGCCGTGGAAATCTTCTTCGAGGGTGTAATCCTCGGACAATCTCGAGTACTCGTATCGATATAATAGAACACCCAAGAGAGTAACATGAGCGAGTTTAACTGTTTAAAGGAGGTAGCTACTCCATGTATTAGAACATTCAACGATGAACAAAGCGGAAAGTTGAACTTTCAACGCTTACGCAAAGCTTTTATTTATTAATAGCTACTTTAGCAAACGCCTCGACTTAATCTACGCCGCGACATGTAAAATTCGTATGATTTGGAATAGTTTCATAATTTTAGTACGCAATGCGCTGGTTTCTAGGCGAGAGAGGAAGGGACGAAGGATCCGAAGGGACCTCGGCAAAGCTAATTGCTAGATCAAAGGCTCTTCGGAGCTTTCCGAGGCTCCGGTTTGGCGCAGTTTCGCGGGACCACTAACCCAAAGACGATTCGCCTCGCTTTACGCATTCGGGTCTGGACTAGTTGTATACGTACTAGATAGTGGATAGAGATCCAGGATAATGAGGATAGGTGCTTGTTGCCAATACCTTCGCTTGCGCTACCCTACTAAAATCCTAATAATATTGTCTTAGTCTTCAACCCTTTGTCCTACGATTTATTGTACAACGTGCCATGATCAGGTATAAAATTCTTTGCGCATTTTCATACGACGTGGATGACTCGTGTTTTTCATATTCGACTCAAATTCTGTACCAAGAGTCTCACGCGCTGTTATAGATTAAAGAGTTAAGGTGCATATAAGCATCATATGCAAGGAAAAGTCTGGACTTGCATTCATTATGTTTGTATTAATTCCTAAAGAAGACTTATTGGACTATTAAGACTATTTTGGGGGCTATCCAATTGCCTAGACTTCTGCTTTTATACATGACGAGTGTTGTTTCTGGCACTCGTACATACAACTAAAGAAACAGTGACTTCATCTTTTGAATACATGTAAACATACAGTCAGCCCTATAAATATTCGTATCCTCTGTGTCTATTGACGAAATTCGTCTAAATTAAATGATAGATTCGACGATTCCAAATAAGTTTCTCGTTATAAATATATACGTGAATAACCATTTATTTGGAAACACCAAACCTCTCATTTAATTTAGACAAATGTCTTCAATAAACTTAGAGTGCTTCTTTTGGACGAACCAAAAAATACCGATCGTTTCGAGAACATACCCTTACCCACGAAGAAGGGCGTTGATACGCGAGCCAAGACGCGTGGAGAGTCGATGGATAGACCATGTTTTTCACGGCTATTAGCGCACCGCGCCGACCCGCTCCTACCGATCATATTTCACGTTATCGATCGGACCTTTGCGTATACCCTCGCATAGTCCCCTCGTGCGCACTATACTCGCGCAAGAATTTTCACATCGCGAGCGATATAACTGAGAGTGACCCTTCGGAGCGGCTGGGTTCCCTCCTTTGGAAGAGTATTGAATGTCAGCTGGCTCGTTGTCCTGGAAAAGGGCGAGACGGGTTTCGCAGGATCGACAGGATTTTTAGAAAAATATCCCCCATACGATACTTTTTTTCGAGTTTAATATATCGAGTGATTTCCGTCATGAGTGACGGGGGTTGCCTCGAGCACCGACACGACAAAGCGAAGAAACTGGACGCGTTTATTCTGCGCAGACTTCCCTTCCAGGCCAGAGATGGCCGTGATTCTTCACTGGACGAGAGTCTCGAGTAACCGATACAAGATAAACAGCGTCGACGGACGTTATTTAGGGGAAGGGCTTCGGAAGATGGCAGGTGACTCGGTGTCGTTCGAAACATGGGATGATCCTCGAGGATCTAAGGGAGGGCATACTTACTAATAGAACGATGATAATGGTGCACCTAATAATAAAAAAATCTGTCGTACAACTAGGGTTGTTGTGTATTATATAAATAAACAAAAATGTCCACAGGAAATGGTGTGCCAGATAATAAAAAGGTCTATCGTATATCTAGAGTTGTTGTGCACGATATAAATATTCAAAAATATACACGGGAAATGGTGGACCAGATAATATGATGATATAAATATACACAAACAGATGCATAAGCAACAAATTAGTTAAAAATGAAACATACTCTAATCGAAACTGTTCTTCATCTGTGTGTATATAAAAATATGAATTTACGCCAGCATACCCAATCTAATCATGTATCGTTATCGAGGCGTAAACGCATGCAACAGTCACCTTATTTTAGGAAATTCAACAGAAATTTGAGATACCGATCGCAGAAGGGGGTGGACGGTCGTTCCGGCAACTTGTCTCAATTTACGCGAACGACGCTCGCATTCCCGTGGCCGAGCGGCGTCCGCCCCGGGGCGCGCAAATTTATATTAATTTTAGACGCATATATATTCGAATTAGCAGCGAGACGTCTGGTGGTCAGTGGCTCGTGTTTGTTTTTCGCGCATTCCTGCCCGACTAGCAGCGAAACGCGTCGTTTTCTAGAACGCAACACTGCCAGAGAGGACTTCATCGCGGAGCGACGCCGCGCGAAATCGCGTTAACGAGTCCGTTAACGAATCCGGATTCTCTCGGGAAGCGAAAGCCACGCACGATTAACCATTTCGGTGCGGTAATTTGGACTTTGGTCTCGAGGAAGCCCCCTATTGCGACGCGACGATGGTGCATGCTTTTGAATAATTGTTTGTTGAGCTACTCGTTCAAATTCGAGGCGATTTCTCGTCTTCCCTTTTAATTGCATCGCTGCTGCAACGTTTGTTTTTTAACACGTTGCCAGACTCGCGAAAATTTCTCCTGGTTAAAATTTCGTCTCGAGATTGTTGAAGTCTAGACAATTTAACATACAGTGAGGTTCATGAGTATTCGTATCTTCAATATCTATTGAAGAAGTTTGCTTCGATTAAATTATAGGTTTAATGGTTTCGAATAAATTTTTCATTAGAAGTATATACATGTGTAAAGTTTATTTATATACATATTTATAATGAAACATTTAGTTGGAAAGATCAAATTTATCATTTAATTTAGACTTTCTTCAATAGACATGGAGGGTACGAATATTTATGGGACTTACTGTACACCGTGGCATTTATTTTCATTATCGCCACACTTTCCGAATTAATTTCTTTAGTTCTATTACTGGGTAACATGGCGACCAACGTGTTAAATAATTCGTAAGTCAGGAATGAAATTTGTACAGTAGTTGAAAGATAGACTAAAAGATTCTACTCTCACACTGTCGAGTTTGTCCTTATCGCTCTAACGTATAATAGCTCTCAGAGAGGAAAAAATTGCCAATAAGCTAACATCCCTGCTCTTTTTGCTTGCAGATCCCCATTACTCCGGGCCTAGCAGTCGGTGGAGCGTTCGCGATGGCCGCTCGTTTATGGTGAGTCGAACGACAGAATTCGTCCCTTCCTCGAAAAGTCGTAACCGAGACAATCTCCGGATCTAGATTCAAATATCGTTGGCGATATACAACGGGCGACACTTTCTTAGCCAGAAACGCGTTACCTTAAATCATACCTGTCGCCCCAGGATCCCCGGCTATGCGTCTTTCCCGGCTTGAATCTGAACTCTCTTAAATCCTTCTTATCCCATGAATTATGCCCGCGCGAGAACGGCCTAACGAATTTCCACGGTTGCACGGCGGGTTGACGACGTCGCGCGACCGACAGAAGAGAGACGCGTTGGTCAGCCGGAGCGTAAGCGTTGGAGAGGATCCAAACGGGCGGAGGAATGCCGGCTACGACGGCGTCTTCGAGCGACAAGGGCAGGAAAAGTCGTAGCACCCAGGCCTCGAGGAGTGGTTCGAAATCGTGGACGTCGTTTTCTGGGATAGTGTCGCGGCGGCACTGACGCCTAAATTACTGGGGTGTTAAGCTCCTATTAACGCGGCTCGCGTCCGCCAGCTCTAACGTATTGTTGCGTTAACGTCTCGCGTTACCACGCGTCCCGATGAAGCGCATCCGTAGTCGCGCGGAAATATCATCTGGATTAGACGGATCGAGAGGACTTAACGCTAGAACCACCGAGGTCAACCAATTATATTGCATACTATATCATCTAATTGGGGTGAAGGGTGAATCAGATTCCCGGTTACGTTGCTTCCCTATTTCAACAATTTTGATTCTACAAAGAAGTTTGAAACAGTAGATTTAATGGGCACTACTTTAGCGGGAACAGGTGGTTACCGAAAAAATGTCGTTTGTCCTAGGTCCAGTAATTCTCGGCTTGGTCTCCCGTCTATTTTAAAGGCCGTTTAAGAGGTAGCAGGTCGGGTTGAAAATTTAGCGCCTGTAACGCTGGTCCTTGTAGTTTTGCAAGTTATGTCTGTACTATGTTCTCACAATTACCATAGACATGTTACATTTACTTCAGCGAAGCAGAACATTGCTCCCATCGTTTAACATCTGCCAGTGCTTCGCGAAACCGCAATTTTATCTTCGAACCGTCGTATTCTTTAAAAATATGTATTCTTTAACCCTGCTTTCACCCACGTAGCGGTTAAACCTTACTTTACCTACCGTGGATCCCCACGGATCCAAACCTTTCGATCCTTAAAATCGTCGCAATAATTTTCGCGATATCCAATCGAAATCCTACCCCTACTTCAAGTTTGAAACCTACGGAAATTAGTTCCGGCATCCCGGAAAATTCGTCCCCGATCGACTGGATTATCCGCGGAGATCAGAGGATAGATTTGGCGCGAGAGCTCGCGATGTTATGCAATTGGTAGCAGGTGGCGAGCAGAGCGTGTCGGTGGTAACGGAAACGGGAACGGGGAGAGGACAGGAAGGTGGTTGAACGAAGCAGACGTCCGCGGTGTAGGAAGAGCTCGCGCGATCGCGTCGGCGTCTGCGTCTGCGACGCGCGCTATAAATAATCGAGGGAATCCCGATTCCAGGTACCAGGAGAAATTGGCGTGTTTGCGTCGAAACACGCCACGCTCCCGTCGAAGCATTCCCGCGTGTCTCCTCCTCCTCTAATTCTGGCCGACGGATGCGTTCTTTTTCTTCCGCGGCCGAGAACGTCTGGCCGACTTTGCTCCAATTTCTATTCTTAACCGAGACGACCGAACTTTGGAGGATCACCGCCGTTCGACTTCGCACCATCGACCACCGATTACCCTCGTACCGAGTTCGACGACCGGTTGTCGCGGAACAGGACCCTCTTCGGTCGTTTCGCGACTACGCTGCGGACCATAACTATAGTGCCACCTATATTTTTCTATTTTTTAACCGACTTCGAAAAGGAAGAGGTTACTCAATTTGACATGTATGTTTTTTTTTCGGTCTTTTGAGTAGGAATGAAAAAAATCAATTATATGGACCAGAAGGATACGATAAGTAATGAATTTTATATCGATCTTCTCAAAGTTGCCCTTACAGTCAGTCCCGTAACCCTGTACAATCATTCGTACCCTCTGTATCTATTGAAGAATTTTGTCTAAATTAAATGACAGGTTTGATGTTTCCAAATACATGATTCATAAATATGTACATAAATAGACTTCAGACATATGTATATATTTACAATTGCAAATTTATTTAGAAATATGAAGCATTTAATAAATATAGACGGTCGAATACTTATGGGACTGATTGTGTACGCGACATGAGGCAATGAAAATGACGATTTTCACTAAGAAAAATCACTTCGCGTGGTACATTTCTCTTAGTATCGAAGAGAAAAGTGCAATTTTAGGACTTTAACCCTTTAACCTATAATAACATGTGAGACTCTTGGTACAGAATTTGAGTCGAACATGAAAAACACGAGTCAGACACGTCGTATGAAAGGCCGCGAGGAACTTTATACTTGATTATGGCACGCACGATCCTACAGTAAATCGTCGGTCAAAGGGTTAAATAATTTGACCATTCCTTCTTTGTTTCTGCGTAACACATTCAGATGAAAAGAATTCAAGCCTGACAGTCATGACAGGTTCAATTCATACAATTTTATTTCATACCCAACTCTATAGTTATGCTCCCCAATGTATTATGGAAAGAGATTTTGGATAAACTGTTCGATAATCAAGATCCAACGAAAAAAAGATCGTGACAATGTAAACACCATCATCTTCGATGCAAGCCTGAAGATGTTTATCGTGTTGAAGAAGAAGTTACGTTCACGTAGCATCATCGTAGTCCTCAAAATAATAATTGACATGTCCTACCAGCGGTGCTTGTGACAACAAAAGGCTGAAATACCTCGGGAAAAAGCGAATCGAGCGAAGATAGGAGAAGAGGAAGCTGGAAGTCGCGACGATATCGTTGGGTTTTCTATAGTTGCGTTCTTTGGTCGTGAAGAAAGGAGAGCCTGAATGACCCACATCACTCGACGCAAAGCAGCGACCAGACAACCCACACCCTCGGCGTCTTTCGCCCTACCTTTGCTCCCCTACCAAGCTTCTTTCCTCTATTCGATCCAAACATTTTCGACGATTTACCGTTGCCTTTGGATACGTCCGACGGTACTTTGTCCGCTTGTCCCGACTCTGCAACTTTTCATCTTACGAAAACCTCGCGAACTTTCGGAGCCACCTACCCAGCAGTGGTTCACGTTCGTCCGCGTCGTGGTTCGCGAATCGATCAACCCCCTCCAAGAAGACTTTTTTGGGGAGGGCTTTTCGTTCGACTAGGTTCTTTAATGTTCGGAGACTTCCGGGTACGAGCTTCGGAAAGATGTAAGGATAGTCGAGGTACAATGGATGTTATTGCACAACGGTGCACTACCGCTCAACACTATCCGGACGTTCGCGAAATAAATATGTATCAGCATTGCATAAAAGTTATTTATGTACCTATAGTAGCGAACAAGATCGATTTTTTATTAGTTTCTTGCGAAATATCTAACGTTTCATATTAAAAATTACGTGCAAGGAACTTACCAATACTACGCTAAAATTAAATACGGGATTCATCGATGTATCCGGGGCGGTTGGATATTACCGCTTGCACTAACCTTGCACTGATTCTTGTCAATTTCAAAAGAACTTAAACATATCATCAATAATTCAGTGGCACTGTTCTTCTAACCATTGAGACCGTTCCATTAGATTTTGTATTTCTAGGCAGAAATTTTATTTCTGCATTACTCATATATAATTTGCACATAAAAGTTAATTCTATTATGCTGTGATACCTCCAAAAAGATAACAATAATAATTACGATTGATATAAGCGTTCTAAATACCTTTCGTACAAAGCTAAACTATATTTTATAGAACAGAAGCAAGTGTCCGGATACTTTTGAGCGGTAAATGTGTACGGATATTATCCTAGAAGCTAGATTATCCCAGAGACAAAATTCTTAGAAGGTTCACGTAGAACCGTGTTCGTAACGGAATGGTTAATGGAGAAAGAAAGAGGTCTGAAAGCACCTCTAAAGCTTTGAGATAGTTCATTTACCTGATTTCCAATTCCTAAAGCAACGTTCCGACCCATTACTCGACGTCGCAACAGTGAATATCCTCCAGTAGTTTCGGTCTGGAATGGCATCCTTCGCGATAGTACGCATTCTCTCAGCAAACTTGGACAAATTTAATCTCAAATAAGGGATCTGAATTCCAGATTTGCTCTTAAGAAGGGAGGCCAAACGAATCCTTCGGTCGTTCGCCCTGAAGCGACGTCGAGACGTGGGAGGACAGCGGCTGAAAAATTCGTTTGTTGTTATTTGTACCGATACATCTGAACCACCGATCCCTTTATTTAGGATGAAATTCAGCCAACTCCGATCCCCAGACTGTGGGTGGCCAACGTAGGTGGTCTTGGATTTCCCCTAGCATCGATTTTTCGCCAAGCGTCGAAAAGGAGGCTGCGTTGACTTTCGGACATCCGCTTGTCCGCTGGGACTGGCTCCCATTTCGCGTCCCATTGAGCGTTTTTACCGTCCCGACGCATTTTCGTCTGTCATAATAAGCCAGTGATCCCGAGGGCCACAGTCGAGAAAGAGAAACGGAAGTCGAGGGGAGGAAGTTGCGCGTGTCGCGCGACCTTGACTGTCTTTGCTCCCACGAGGCAGCTTCCAACATTTTGCCGCCCCCTGGTGCGCGTTTTAGCTACTTTCTCAAGCCATTTCGTATTGAAACTACTCATCAGCGTGCTCATATTGCTCCAAAATGGCAGTCCGCAAGGGGTTAACCTTTAGAAGGCTGATTTTCCAAATTAAATTTTAAAAAATATCGATGTATTTATCATTTGAACAATTTTGACAGCTGACGTTTATTTATTTTAACTTTTGTCCAAAAGACCATTATGCAATGGTGACATGCATACAGCCAAATGTTAAAAACAAACCAATTGCAAGTGCGCAATTCGATTTAAAAGTCTGGTATAAAATTTGAAACTCAGGGCGTTTAAGGGTTAATTGGACTCGCGAGGGAAACGAATGATTGCAAATGTCTCGGAATTTGTTTGCAGACGAATCCAGCGCGCGTGAGAACTGAGCAGCGGAGGCGGCCTCCGGAAGCGGGCAGAGAGCTCGTGGCTCTGGACGGAGAAGGGCAGAGGGTTCAGCCTCGATCTTATTTTGGCCGGGCGCTCCCGATCTCGCGTCCAAAGTGGCTAAGAGCGTAAGTCCTCGTCGCGTGCACCAGGAGTGGTTGAGCGTGGGGGAGGTGCAGGTACAAGTGCAGCAGGAGAGACGAGCACCGTGGCGCATGCCTTACCTGGGGCCTGATATGACAACCCGGCTGTCCGCCATGTTCTACACGGTTGAAGTCGGGGACACCAGGTTCACCATTCTCAAGCGGTACCAGAACCTGAAGCCGATCGGCTCGGGTGCCCAAGGAATCGTTTGGTAAGTTTCGCCAACACTTTCGCTCCGATTACCTCCTCCAACCCTCGGTTTTTCTATGACGGTGGTTCTTAACCCGATCGCACGGAATCGTTAAAAAAAAAAAAATCTGTGATCTTCGAATAGAGTATTTAAATGTTTCTTCAGGGTTCGACGCTCCGTTGATCGCTAAATTAAAACATCGAAGAAGCCAACTGCATTGCTTATATTCTATTCAGTATTATTCATGATTGTTGGCATTATAAATTTAAAATATTGTGTACAAGAAAGACCAAAGTCCACGTACTCGTATGAGTACGGATTTTAAGTAAACCTAAAAGATAATTTAAATTGCGGATGTTTAAATCTAAATGATATACTACGTAAACTTGCTAAGAAGAATTCGCGATGGTTACACCTGGAATCAGCATCTCTACCAGTTCAAAAGAAGATTCTTAATTTCTTTCGAGCTCGCTTGTGTGCGACCAACAAAATTTCATTTCTTTTCACTTTAAGCACGTTAGAGTTGTTTTCTTGATAACATTGCTACTACAATCGTTTTACGATTGCAAACTCTCCCAAGCTGCGATCCCAAACAAATAGAGAATCTTCTAAACCGTACTGCACGCTCGAGAGGGTTAAGAACCGGTGCTCTAGTCTGCGGTACGACTCGGTCAAAGAGCAGCCGCTCGAGCGGCCAGGTTCTTTGTCCCTCGGATGGAACGAAAAACTGATACCGATTTTCAATAACGATTCGAAGCTCGGTTTGACGGAAACAACGTCGCATCAAAGTCGAACTTTGAGAGTCGTGGGCGAAGTTGATGGGGACGATCGATCGAGAGGAAAGGGAGAATCGAATTCCGAATGCCTTTCGTAGCTCGTCGCGAAAGGAAGAATGCGAAAAAGCGAGAAAAGAGACGCCCACGCGCGCAGGTGTTTTAAATTCGGTTATTCCGCGACGCGCAGTCCAGTGCTTCACAAAATCTCCATGTTTATATGTTTTTCAATATTCGATATCATCTTTGAAAAGTGTTTCTATCATTTTGTCGAGCTTGAAAGAGTCGCGATAAAGATGATCAGTACCTCGACGAAACTTAAATTTCATCTTTTGAAAAAGAACAATCAACAGTCAAAGTATAGTTTGACTTTATTTATTGCATTATTTATACTTCAACCCCCTATAATAGTTACACAGCTAGATTGCAGGTCTTTATGCAAAATAAAGGTAACTTAAACGTAAGTAGAAATTTATTTTACTCTGCAAATATTATAATATGAACTTTATCTTCAATATCTTTTTTATATTATTGCATAATCTATGCATTTTGTAATTTCTTGCATATGGTAATTTACTATAAACGCATAAAAATCTGCAGTCACATGAATCATTTTCGTGGGCCACCATCTTTTTTTGGCCCGCAAAAGCTCAAGTAACGATAGCACTCTGTACACTCTGCAAGAAAGCACGTACCCTCTATGGTAGATTTTCCCCAGTGATCTAGGAAAGGTTGGGAAGCACTGGCGTGTCGTGGATTTGCATCCCATAACCTTGCGCGAATCTTTAAATCCCGATACCCGAGACCCTCGTGGAACGTAATTTAAGTTTCGCCATCACAAAAAGTACTACGTCGATCGGATCCCGGCTTTTATTTCTCCGAGTCGGCGCGCGCGTCGAATTATTCATGGGATCTCGCGGTTCCGCGAAGCGATCCCCGTCGGAAAGTTCGCGACTCGCTCGAAAGCTGACTGGTTAAGGGAGAGAACGTATCCTTGTCGGGACGGTATCGTTTACGTAATTGGAGGAGGTCAATTAGAGCGAGGAAGACTGGAAGGTGTCCAGGGGTGGTTCGTTCGATCGATCTCGAATCGCCTCCGCGTGTGTGCTTTCAGCGCGGCGTACGACACGGTCACCGCGCAGAATGTGGCGATCAAGAAGCTCTCCAGACCTTTTCAAAACGTCACGCACGCGAAGAGGGCCTACAGGGAATTTAAACTCATGAAGCTGGTCAACCACAAAAACGTGAGTCTTCGACGAATCTTCTTTCGTTTTATTGCACGCGTACGTGCGATGTTTCCCAGTTCTAGAGGTACATTGAAATTAACAGAGATCACTGTTACCTAGCTTGTGATAGGGTTGAAACATAAAAGAATATTACAAGAGGAACTGTTTATGTTTGTTTCGGAACACACGTTTATTTCGATTTTCATTTGTAAAAAAGTTGGAGAGAGAAATCTAAAAAATGACATTGTTCTCGATTCTTTTTAATGTTCATATTTTCTTCTGGTACAATTACCATATTAGTTTGTTCGAAGTCTCTGTTATTTTACAACGTATATTTTATTAAAATCTGCGAAATTGATAAACCGACAGTCTCTCCGCCCTTTATTTCTCGCACCTATGCTTCCTTCCATCGAGGATGGCTCGACTAACCTGTGCACTGTGATCGCAGATTGTCGGTCTTCTAAACGCGTTCACGCCGCAGCGGTCGTTGGACGAGTTTCAGGACGTCTACTTGGTGATGGAGCTTATGGACGCGAACCTGTGCCAGGTGATCCAGATGGATCTGGATCACGAGCGCATGTCCTACCTTCTCTACCAGATGCTCTGCGGCATCAAGCATCTGCATTTCGCCGGTATCATTCACAGGGTGAGTCCATTTACGTTCTACCATCGAGTGTCAGCGCGAGATATCCAATTCCAACAAGATAACTCTGAATTTAATACTGATTTTGATTCTTCGTCGAACGTAGGATTTGAAACCGAGCAATATCGTCGTGAAGTCAGACTGCACGTTGAAGATTCTCGACTTTGGACTGGCGAGGACTGCTGGGACGACGTTCATGATGACCCCGTACGTGGTGACGCGGTATTATCGAGCACCAGAGGTAAGCAAGTTATTTTTTACCGACACTCTATATTATACTGAGTGTAGATTACATCGACAAAGGAGTTTCTTAACGTCGTTCTACGCGATTCGCTGGTACAGGTGATCCTGGGCATGGGGTACAAGGAGAACGTGGACATTTGGTCGGTCGGGTGCATCATGGGCGAGATGATTCGAGGTGGCGTGTTGTTTCCCGGCACCGATCACATCGACCAGTGGAACAAAATAATCGGTAAGTAACGATACTACAAGCTTAAGGGGGTATTTTTTTTTTTAAGGGAATTTTCGTTTTTTTTTTGTGGAGAAATTACTCGACCTTCAAAGTAGTTAACGAACAAAAATATCAACAATAAAATTTATTCTTAATTCAAGAAAAAAAAGTGTACCTCCTTAACAAATTACATACATCGCTTTGGAGCGATCTTGATCTCATCCTCCCAACGCAATCCTCTAAACTTCTAACTCCCCTAATTTTGTTAACACGTTGACTGCCAGACTAAAACTCGTGAATATTTCTACAAGGTTAATCTAACATTTCTCGTAGGTGTTTAATTTTCGAGCCTTGCCAAATCACGAATCATATTCAGATTTATTTTTATCACGTTGCCTACCAAACTACTCATGAAAATTTCTACGAGCCTAACACCTTGGTTTTATATAACTGGAAATTACTTTTGTTGAATTTAAACTAGTACTCATCTTTGCAATTTCGCCAAACTCATGAATCCTATGCAGATTTATTTTCTTTAACACCTCATCTTCAGAATTAATTTATTTAATTTCTCGATGAAAAGTTGTGCCACCCATATATGGGTGACGCGGCGATCAGCGTGTTAAGCTTTTGCCCTTTCCCAAAGCGCGAGCCATTCGCCTAGATATTTCGCGAAATCGATGTCACTCGCTTTCCACGCCGCCACCTTAACCCCTGCGGCAATGCATTCGAGTCGAAGCTGATTCGCCGTAGACGGTATCTCCGGTCGCTCCAGTTTCCCCGTTGTTCGCGGAACGCGCGATAAAGCGACGGTTTGGTTTTGCAGAACAACTGGGAACACCGGCGCAGGAATTTATGCAGCGGCTGCAGCCAACCGTGAGGAATTACGTGGAGAACAGGCCGCGATACCCGGGATATCCGTTCGACAGGCTATTCCCGGACGTTCTGTTTCCCTCGGATTCTTCGGACCACAGTAGATTAAAAGGTGAGTAGGTCAACGGAGTCGTCGGCCCTCGGACGGAATCGATCGTCGCGGAAAACCGCTGCCTGTAAACAGCGTTCCGCGCGGCTCATGTTGCATTCCGCATCGTCTTCTCTGCGTTTTTTCCGTTCTGTTTTCCAGCCACCCAAGCCAGGGATCTATTGTCGCGCATGCTCGTCATCGACCCCGAGCGACGCATCTCCGTCGACGACGCTTTGCTGCACAATTACATAAACGTGTGGTACGACGAGCGCGAAGTCAATGCCGTGAGTATCGTCGATTCAGCCACGTTAATCCCGTTACCGATCTGACCGCGTCCGCCACACTTTGTTTTATGTTCCCCGCGTCCTTCGCCCGTTTTGGACAGCCCCCGCAGACGAAAGGTCGATAGTGCAGTGATTGGATGTCATCTTGCGCAATTTCATTTTTATTTTAACGTACCAGTAAAATATCGTTGGGTCATTCCGTAAGGTCTTGCCATTTATTGTTCTGGTATTCGTAATTAATATGTCGAGATATATATTCTCTTTCCACGATATTTTCCCGGTGAAGTCATTGTGCCGTTGCTATAAAATTTCCGTAGGATTTTATTAAGTACTAGCTGCAGCCCGCGGTTTCACCCATGTGCAATATTACTGGGTTGTCTGGATAATCCATGCCGATTTTTGGTAGATGGTTCAGGTCTGAGGATATCGGAATGGTTGAACACAAATAACATTTATGCGTCCCTTAAAAGGAGGAAAGGTTGTAATGGTACCTATGTAATTCAATAAAAAATTATCAAAATTTATATGCGCCTTTGAGTTTCTCTTAAAAATTGTCACGAACTTTCTTCTGGACAACCCAGTATTTATTGTATGTCGTTCGACTGACTGTTCAACCGCGTGTTCCTTCGTGAACCTAGATGCATTTTATTTCTTTATAATGTTAGTATGAATAAACACAATTTGTGGCGTGGATGTACGACGCGATGTTTTTACTCTCCGTTCTTTTTGAAAACGATCGACGTCTGTTTCAGCCCGCACCCGGCCCGTACGACCACAGCGTGGACGAGAGGGAGCACACGGTGGACCAGTGGAAGGAGCTGATCTACCAAGAGGTGATGGAGTACGAGACGAGCCACAACCCCGCGACGGTGACTGCTCAGACGTCGGAGAGCGCCGGCTCTCGGTAGACACGGGGCAAGTCTTCGCCAGCTTTCTCGCCGAGGACGCGCCTAGACTATCCGATCTATCGTATAAATATCGCGGAGAAAATGTAAAGAGAGGTGGCGACGAATATAAGAGAATCGTTCGCGTCCATTGGGGGTAGACGCGCGCGCCGTTTTCGTTCAGAGACGAAGAAGGGAACGGCCGTGCCGGGAGAGGATTGCGAGACAAATGTACACGAGAAAATGTTGAGGATGCAAGAGTGCGAGTGAGTGAGAGAAGCGAGCGAGGGAGGCTCTGCTCCGTCGGTTTTTTCGAGAAGAGGAGAAATCGACATCGAGGGAGAGCACCAACCGGTTGTTCCGAGATGTCGTCCGCGCGGACGTGTCGAGGCATAACGAGCGCGCGTCTGCGAGCACACGCGGTAACTATAATATATAAATATATAAATATATATAAATATATTCCCGTAACCAAAGCATAAACGCGATTCAGAGACACGCCGACGGACGCTGTTGTCCGTTCGAGCACGGCGCCGCGACGTTCGTCGTTGTTTTTGCTCGATCTTCTTGCTCCTCTTTCCGAGAATCTCCCCCGTACGGGAAATGCGCCATTCGTCGACAAAACGAACGGTTCCCCCGCGATCGAGCTTATCAGAACGTCGCAACGCGTCGTCGATCGACTTCGCCCTCAGAAATGCTTCGCGATTCCTTTGCGAAACGAGAACGTTACGCGCCGCTTTCCTTTTCTTTTCCGTTTCGGAGCCGTCTCCTCTGAGAATCGCCACAAATACACACACACATATACACGCACGATCGACCGAAGGGAGATAAAGAGTTGCTCGGTGGACGCCAGAGTTAGGCAGCGGTTGCTTTGCGATTACTTTTGTAACAATCTACAATCGTGAATCGGTGATACGTAATCTTTCGGAGTAAATCGTGTCGGATCATACGTTGTAACCCTTTCGCTGCGACACACTTAACCAACGGTACGCCTTAGCTGAGGGGACTCTCCGAGGCATGGGTGTACCTTAACCATAATTACCACGAGATCCTTGTTATAACAAAACAAAGAAAGCGATACGAAGAATTGTGTGCTTAAAATCATTACCACACTTTCCATCTCAATTTACGAACACACGTACGGAGGGTGTACGTACACCCATGACAGCGAAAGGGTTATTAACGTGTACCGATCGTTACCGATTTCTCGCGAATTGGACTCTTGTCCAACCCTGGTGGAAGCAGATCGGTCGTCGAAAAACTGCCTGAACGACATTCACGAATTCGTCGCGCGTCTTCTCGTTACTGCCACCGATTTCAAGCACCCCAGCCTCTAATCTCCAGCCCCCCCTCGATATATATTTTTGTCCCGCGGCGATCGATCTGCGATCTCGTCGAAAACGCGTCGCCTCCCCCGAACTCGAAGCATCCTTTTGCGTCCCTGCGCGCCAATATCTATTTTTCGTATCGTCCTTGGAACTGGGGAACAAATATCCGCGATTAAGAGAAGACGAAAATCGTCGACAGACGACGACGGGATCGCCGATCCGATCGCTAGCGACTCCCGGGGAAGCGCACCGCTTGTCTACCCTTTCTTCGTCCCCGCGGTCGCGACACTTGGCGAATTCGGTTTCCCCCAGCGCGAATTTTCCTCGCGAGAACTTTACTTCTCGTTCGTTGGTTGGTACGCAGCGACGAGCATCGTCGATCGCGACAGCGGCCAGTGCCGGATCTCGTAACGATGGGTTCCTGGATTACAGGCGGGAGACCCTCGGGAAAAGACTGTCCATTTTCAGTGCACGTATATATACGCTCTTCGTAACTGACTGTCCACTTTTGGAAGGCGTATATACGCGTCCTTCGTAGCGAGAAGGGTGCGGATGTTTAATATTCAACGATATCGTAGCGAATGCACAGTGTTAAACTTAATTTAGACGTCGTTGAAACGTAGCGAAATGCAATTCTTACGGAAAGGTAAGGTAGGCCTTTGCTGCTAGGTACGACAAGTTAGCGTCCGATCTTAAATCTCCAAAAATAAATCACAACGATCTGCAGTTAATCGCATATGTGATATACTAACATACTATAATTATAAATTTACAGCAGTAAATGCCGGTTAGCTGCGATAGATGATTTCGAGATCTTTTCGATTCACCGATTGTGTAAAAAAAGAAAAAAGAAAAAATAAATTTTCGCTTGCCCCCAAAATCCCTCGATCCGGCCCTGGCGGCGTCAACACGTCGAAGAAGTCCCGTGAACGAGAAGCCCACACGATATATATCGTCGATCGAGCACACAATTTTGTACGTAATTTCCGAAAGCGTCCGACATACAGGGTGGTCGCGGATAAGAAGAGAGCTCGTACCGGTTCCCGTTTCGAAGTTGGAATATTCGATTTTGCCGCGTCGACGCCTTTCTTAAATCGTCGAGCAATTGAACATTGTGTATTTTTATATAAAACGCAAAACTCGAGACGCGCGTGCTTTTTGTCTAATCGTTTTCGCGCGCTCGTACAGCCGCCGATATTTTCTATCGCTAACTTTGTAAGAAGATGAGGCGACCACGCCACGTTTAATCCACGAATAAAATATCCCACAGGGGGAAATGGATGCGAGAGAGAGAGACGAAGAGGAACAATGAATCGCGAATAAAAGAGAAAGAATATGTGAAACGAGAACGATAAACCACGGCGAAGTGGAGGGATCTTCAGCGATTGAATTATCCTAGAGAGAGAGAGAGAGAGAGAGGAAGCGAGTCGTGGGGGTTCGCACGCTCGAAAATACGTTTTCTTTGAAAAACCGACTGGTGCAATGTCGCGGCGATCGATCATCGAGTATCTACGACGACGCGATTCGCCGGTCGTACTTGTCGATTGTGTCTTTAGCTAGTTAGTTTGTTAGGTAAACTCGTTCTTTTCGTGCAATCGTGCGTACGTCGTGCCGTCGCGAGCGACGACGGACGGCGACGCGGACAACTAGAACGTATTATGTATAAAACGCTGTTCCGTATTTCGTGGAATTTTTTCGCTGTCGACGGACAAACGGCAATAAATTGGCGAAACTGGGCGCAGTTTCCGATCGTCCGGAGAACCACGAACGCGTTTCGTTTTATCGGCGTTTCTTCGTTTCTTGCTCGTCGGACGAACAACGTTCGCGTCGCGCACGTTCTTTGGTCGACGTGGCTCCCGCTCTTCGACGTCACGCTTTATGTTTCAGTACGAGGAACCACGAGCGTCGTCCATTTCCGAAGGGACGCGCGTTTTAGCCTTAAGCTCGAACAAACGAATGGTTGCCCTTCGCAATAGAAGCCACCACGCCTGGGTCAACGGTTTCGAGATACGATAGACTCCTGTATAACGCGTTATAGGGAACCGTTTTGTACGAGAATTTTCCTTGCGTAACTCGCGTAGTATAAGTAGCCTGTACGGGGAACAAACAAATGTTGCTACCAATGGCGATAACAAGCGGGGCAAACGAGGAATTATGCATTACAATGTACACTGTAACACGAATAAATTATACAGAGTGATCACACAGAGTTCTCGTTGTACGAGAATCGCTTCGTGTACTTTCAGCGCGTTGTAGGAACTCGCGTTATACGGGAGTGTACCGTATAGCTATGGGGACGTATTTTCAAACGTTCTAGCTGGGAAAATAGTCGTCATTCGTCCAAGATATAATTATTTGTAAGCTTTTTATCGTCTGGAAAATAGAGCCAGACCCGTTACCTTTCGCTAGCGACGGTCTGGATTGGACTGATTCTGTTTGCAAGACAATAACGACGAACAGACAATTCTAAGCTCAAAATAAATTATACTTGCTCATTCGTGCATCTCGTCGAGTTCGTATAATCGAGGATCCGCCCTATAATTCGATATCGGTTACCCAAGCGTGATCGACGATTATTTTTCACGCGTGGACGCTATGGGAAGACGTGATCTTGAAAATATCCGAATCCGCTGAAATCCGCGGAGTTGCCGCTATTATAAGGGACGACTGGGCGTTAATTCCAAAGCGACGCGTTTGTGGCAATATCTGTACAGTAGGGTGAACAGAGTAACGGGGACCGAAGACGTTCGTTCTGACGACAACGACGACGACAGTGACTACAGGTGACGAGAGTAAAGACGACTGCGATTACATTGGTGATTATTATTATTATTACTACTAGTACTACTACTACTAATAATATTATTATTCTGTTTATTATTATTATTATTATTATTATTATTATTAATATTAATATTATACGAATTATTGTATTTATTACGGTTTACTACGAATCGAGTTATAGACGATCGTGAGAGAACAGTGAACAATTGTAATGTAAACGTTGAATTTTTATTTTCCACGGCGATAGTTATGTGAATATATTGCTACAGTCCGATCCAAATAATCAAGCTTTTGTAACACTAATTATAATAAAGCAACGGTGATACTGCTAATCGCGTAATTGTATCGCGCACGGTGATTCGGGCACGAGCGGGGATTGGGGAGGGGTCGCGTGCACGACAAACGAAGAAAACAAAAACAAAAAAAAAGATAGCGCGCCAAAAATCTTTAAAAATTCGTGCGAGATCGTTAAACCATTTCTGTTCTCTCATCTTTCATTCTCTCGTCGCTTTTGTCGTCTCGAACGCGACCGATTCGCGTGCAGATTGTTCGCAGACGGAGAGACGCTCTCGCGCTCCGAAACACTTGCTGGCAATTGCCTCCAGCGAGATTTAGCAAACAGAACTGAAAGAATGGCTGAAGAAGGGCAAAATCTTATTCGAATAATAAAGAAACTCATAGAGATGTTCTATAATCAGATATTTATTTGGAATATTTATAATTGATCTATTTAACCCTTCGAGTACTGGACTCAAGAGGTTGTGGTCGTCCAGGACGGAATTATTTTTCACTTAATTGTTTCATTAACAACCTTCGAATGGGAAACATATCTTAACCTGAAAATCAATGAATCTAAATATTGAAATTTTAGCAAATATAACGGAAAACCAAACACTGATAATTGCGCGTAAATCCGTCCATAGTCAACACCGATAGCTCTCCATAACACTCAAGGGTTTAGTACATCTTATATACTTGAAAGCATACGGTCACATAGAATTACTGCGATTGTAGCCTAATCCCGATAAGATTATTGCCTGTCTCGATAGTCTCGCTGGACGCTGTTGCGAGCAAGCGAAAAGCAAAGTCACTATTTTTCCACGCGTACGCGCAAAGCATCTTTCTTCGCGCCAAAAAAAGGACTCGGTGAACCGTGATTCCTTGTAATTTCGTCCAGCTCCTCGAGCCAAAAAGCACAATTTTCTCGACGCTTTCGAGACACCGAGAATTCAGCTCGCGAGCTTTCCTTGTTCTCGTCGGATCCCCTGTATTTCTGCGTATCGATGGAGAGCCAACGGAAACGCGACTGAGTCTAGGTATGGTTGTTCGGTCAGACATCGTCGGTGGTATCGACGTGCGACATGTTTATTTAAACTGGTAGATAATGTCTTGTGCAGCCATCTCCAACGATGACGCTTTGTAATAAAAATATTCGCGAGATCGATCGCGGTGTATTCGCCATCTTGTCGCGATTTCCGTTGGCGGTGGGAATTTCTAAAGATTTTTGGATATACGCTCGAGAATACGAGGACGAAGTGATATACTTATTGTAACGCGTAGATATACACATTATTATATAGTGGAACGGGAACGGGATCGCCAGGCTTCGGCCGTACGGCGTCTCTTCGCGTCGCGACGTCGAGACGTCGCGGTCACGGGAGCCGTTCATTCCGCGGTACGACAAGAGTAAAAGAAAAGAAGAAAAAAAAGAAGAGAAAAGAAAAAAAAAGAAAACGAGAACGAAACGTTTGTTCGCGTTTACTTCTTAAATTTCATCGTAGACCGAGAACGAATTGTAGTCGTAAACAGGTAATTAAATAACGTGGTAACGATTAACGATAATAACGATAGCAATAGCAATAGATGTAAATCGACGTAGCGCAGACGAACTAACGAGATTACAAACACCGGTAACGATTGTTGCACAGCCATAGAAGCGATCGGTGAAGCCCTTTCCCCGGACGAAAATAAAAATAAAAAAAGAAATAATAATGTAGAAGAGGAAAATAGAACGAAAGAAGGACGAGTAAACGTAACGAGCTCGGTAGATATACGCGAGAGATTTCACGATGTTCCCGACTTTCCTACGATCGTCGTGTAACGATCATCGCGATAACACGAACACGAAGAGCGACGAAACGCACCCTTGGAACGCGCAATATCGGTGCAACGAGACAACCGGAACGAACAAAGTCGAATTAAAGTAACAGCCGACAAAGGAAAATTGTAATAATAATAATAATAATAATAATAATTACAATAATAATAATGATAATGATAACGATAATAATAAATATAATTAACGATAACGCTAATGTTAATATTAACACTATCGATAATACTAACGCTAACGATACTACTAATATGACTAATAACGATAATAAAAAAAAAAAAAGAAAAGAAGGAGGATAATTGAAGAATAGTAATAATAATAATAATAATCGTTGTCCATGCCTGTCGTGAAGGGAAAACGAAGCATAAAAAAAATAACCGGGTACCTTCAAAGTGACGTGCCTTTGAGACTCTTCGAAGCGAGAACGATCTTCGTGCTCGCTCGCGGTGACAGACAGACGATTTCCGTGTCCCGTATTGCGCGTTTTTCAAGGAAAATGAAAAATGCAGTGAGAGTGAGAGAGAGAGAGAGAGAGAGAGAGAGAGAGAGAGAGAGAGAGAGAGAGAGAGAGAGAGAGAGAGAGAGAGAGAGAGAGAGAGAGAGAGAGAAAGGAAAACATACCAACACCTTGGCCAGATCTCGTTCATTCGGTCGTCGTACGTCGCCGCGAAAGCCTTGCGATCGACGTTGCGTTTCCGATATTGCGCTACAAATCGTATAGGGTACAACGGCGGAAGGGGGTGGGTGGACGTCAAAGACGCAGGATACCTTAGAGGAAACAGAGAGGGGATGTGGAAACGCCGAGGGTTGCGCGAGGGATCGAGGATCGTAACGAGATAGTTTACGGTGTATAGCAATCGGTTCAACGATCGGATCGATCGATTAATCCTTTTTCTTAGCGCGGTAAAACGGCGGGCGTGATACAAAAAGCGAGGAAATATTTTGAACGACTCGATATTCCGAGAGCAGCGGGACGGGGCTGGGAATTGGGAGGGGGGGGGATGATAAATTTGAAATAATAATAATAATGTCCATGTTGTTAAATATTAGCGATGAGGTAGTTTTGCGTATAGCGACGTCTTAGTTTAAAACTTAGTCCTTAACACGAGAGAGAGAGCGAGAGAGAGAGAGAGAGAGAGAGAGAGAAGAGGGTGCCAGGGAGAGAGAGTGAGAGTGAGAAAGAGTGCGTGCGAGAGAAAGAGAGCATCGAGGCGAGACAGAATACATATACACGAAGAAACTAACGCGCAAAGGTGGGAGATCGAAAGATCGGTGGTCGAATTAGGAAATGATAAAATATTACGTGACGAGGGAGGTTCCTCCGTGGTTCCTTCCTGACCTGATCTTTCCCTCTCCCATCCAGAGGTGGGCAAAACATTCTTTAAATGATGCATGGCGAATACTGATTCGAACCTGATTCTCTGTACAGCATTTTATTCGCAACGTTTATTCCGATCCAACGGGGTAAATGTACTTTTTGTATAATTGTTCCGTTTTACGTTTGAATTCTTAACGAAGTCGTTGAAACGTGTCTCGTTTCACTATCGTCGCTACCTTCACGATTTTTATTTAAAGTACACAGTTCTCTAAAAATAAGCAACACTCAGACTCGATAATCAGAGACGAATCGCGTCAAAATCATATCCGCTTACCTTAATCTCATTTCATAATTCAGACCTTTTATGGAATCAACACCTCATCGAGATTACTCTCCGATCTAGATAAGAGTTTTGCGCACCTCTGCCCACGTGAATCCACCACTATTACACGAACATACATACACATACATGCATGTACAAGAATGTGTGCGCGTAAACGCAGCGAAAGAGAGCGACTGAGAGGAAGAGAGACAAGCAAACCGACCGACGGACACACGCGTAAACACACGTACACACGCGACGCATAGTAGACGTAGATTAAAATTAGAATATAGATTTTTAGGTGGAGTTATCGAGCCCGTTCCTTCGTATTAGATATGGTAGCCCTAGATATGCCCGACGCCTCGAAACGAGACACGTGGACCGTTATCTAGCAACTAATCGCAGAAAGCGTTTGCTCCAACCTGCGATCCTTTTGTTTCTCATCGAGAACAAAACAACCTGAACGCAAACTCGTCGCTCGTCGACGCTCTCCCACGCGCTCACTTCTTAAGCAGGCTTTCCGCCGGAGTTGGACGTCATTCGAACGTGATCCAACTCCGCTTTCCACGCGATAATTCAACTGGCGTTAGTAATCGTTGCGACGACAAAGCGAGGATCAGGTGTACTTTATAGAACTTTTCCTTTTAGACATCGCAAACTTTCATCATACGAATACAGCAATTTTCAATTACTAACCCTCGCGATTTTCGCCTTATTTTCCTTGTTTAAATTACAAGCAAGGCTGCTACCGAGAAGTGCACCTGTTCATTACCTTCCTGGCGCAACGATCACTCCAATTGATCGAATTTGTATACCTATGCAAGACGCCATTGATCTTCGCAAGGGGAAACTCTGCCCTAGTTCTCCTTCTATCCTCCGACTTCGTTCTCGGTTACCCGAGTCGATCTGCCTCGATTCGAGTGACCGAGAAACGGAGAACGAGATCGACTCCTGATCAGCAATAAACCGTTTTTCCACGTAGCCGACTTTCATAGCGCGAAGGACAGCGTCGGCGAGACGACGGCTCGCGGAGACATTCATTTTGTACATTTAGAGGACGATCCTTTTGTCGTCGATCTCTCCCGCGGGCAATCAGAGACGCGCGATCGTCGAGCGCCAACAGAGCCCGCGATCGTCCACACGAGTCCCTAAACTTCGTCGGTAGGGCTGGGTGTGTCAGCCAGGCCCAAACGTTTCTCAAATCGATCGCTAGTCAATGGTGCGATCGTCTAGTGAGCAGGAACGTTGGGAACGAGGTTGATAAAACATTATAAATAAACTCGAATCGAGAATTCAGCTATAGGCTCGTCCTTTGTCTTAGTTTGCATGGTTATACTTAAGGCATGAAAGAAAGAAACGTTAACCTATGTTTACCTTTAAATTTTTAGTAGCTTACTCGACGATCGCAGCACTGATAAAAAAGTGGCCAGTTGGAGAAACTCGCCTCGTTAACGCGTTAAACGCTGGTCCTTGCGAAATCTAACTTTTTTTAATTACTGTTATAACATTCGAATCTGTACTCCCTCGTTTTTTGCTCACCACCACTTTTTGATCTCCACACACTTACGAAAGAAGACATTCGCAACAGAGGTAGAAATTGATCAGCCTCGCTCCTGGTTTTCTTATCTTTCATTCGTGCTTCTTACCACTGAACTTATTAAGGAGGTAGTCCTGCTGCAGGAGTCTCAGGACACGTGTGAACGACCGTGGTCGAAGCGAGTGCAGCGAAACGAACGGAGCCGTTTGGCGGGAGAACAATTGGGGGGTAGAAACCGATGGATCACACGGGGGTCGATGAAGAGAATGTGGTTTGCGGAGACGAACACTCCTACAGAATACCGTGCCCATTGTAGTCGCGCGATGCGTACACGTAAATTATTATAAATACTAATGCATTAATATTATCGACTATATATACATATATATATATATATAGTACTGTACATACAATTAAACGGCAAAACAATAACGATTGATTGATTGTCGTACGCCGCGTACGGCGACACCAGACTTGGCGAGAAACGTCGAAAATTGCGTATTTGTTTCTCAGCGATCGACGATCGACGAACGATTTAGTTTCGCGCGGGGATGACGAGCACGAACGAGTTAATGTAGTTATATATTGGGGCGGCGACACGATGTCAACGGTCGTCGATTCGCAGCCCCGAAACGGTATAAATATTATAAATACACACGGTACGACGAGGGTCGCGACACCAGCGACGAACGGTGATTTTTATTATTGCTAATTATTATTACTCTATTATTATCGTTGCAATTTCTTACTCGACGAGTCGTGCGATTATTATTATTATTATTATTATAATTGCTGATTTACGATTATTATTACGATGATTGTGAAACGCGGACGAGAGGCACGGTGAGGAGTATCGGCTCCGAGCGAAGCGGATCGTTCGCGAGTGTGGGGGAGTGACGAGTAACGAGGGACGAGAGGAATCTGCATACCTGTCGGCGCGCGATAGGACGGATTGTTGGTCTAGACTGACGTAGGGTTCCTAAATTAACGAAAACGGTTCACGAACGTTCGGGGAACAAGATCGACGTAGAGACGATTCGTCGAATACACGAAACGACTTCGACGTTTAATTGTTTATAAAGAGTGTGTTAAAGATCGATGGTCCATACTGTGGGTGTGCTAAGGGTCGAATTAAGATTTTATACAACCCTGAGTCGTGACTACTGTGATTATATATACAGTACAGTGTTCCTTTCTACTACGAATATGCTTACGGTTGAGCTCCTTTTTGAATGAATAATTTAAAGTACCTATATTACGGTAGTAATAGCGACAAGTGTAGGATCCTAATGAACTGCAAGCTTTATCGATTTTTACTGACGAAGCTTCGCATTTACCAACACCACCTTTTGTCTTACTTTGGTGGATACTACATGTACTCCAAGTATGGGTCACGAATTTTAGCACGTCCTTACAGTGGGTCGAACAAAATCGTAATGGAGACAATTAGAGAATCTAGTGCACTCGAGTCAGTGTTTCATTTAGTTCGTGTAACTTTTTTCTTTTTTTGTAAGGACAGAAATTAACAGAATTCCCTGAGACTACAATGTGCGACGCAATGGGAACGGTATTCGTTTGAAAAATACTTGTTCCACCTACTGGAAAGACCCCCGCGCAGGAAAGGATCAAGGAACGATCCTTTTGAGTCGACGAATCGTTCTCGCGCGTCCCCGCGACGGATCGTCCGCTTCCCAGGCTTCAGCGAAATACACCAATGCCGCGTCGAGGTATCCTCGAGCGTAGCGGCTCTTTTTCCGAATTTCTTTTTCTCCATAGAAATTTTATTTTTATTCCCGTACACTAGCGCTTAGAACGAAAAAAACAAAATGCGAGCCAGCGTGCGACCGCGAACGTTTACCCGTTTTCGAAAGAGACGTGCGAAAGGATTTTCGTCGCACACGCGCGTGCCTGCGCTTGTAACCAGGACTTCATCGAAGTTCGAAGCCACGTTTCTACGCGTAAAACGATCATCCTATCGTTATTTATTGGCAGATCCGAACCAATGCTCAAGCGATGCTGTTGGTTTAAAGTGAATAAAAGAAAAGCTGAGAAACCACCATTTTCTTTACCCGTCTTGTACCTATAGGCCTGTAACGTCGTGTATGTGCTGTGGAGTATAAACGGAATAAAGAGTACACACTTTTTTCTATGCATGGCTTATCACTTTTAATTTCATTCGGTCGCGAATAATGTCTCACCTCGCAGCTCTTTCATGCCCCCTGAAAGATGGAGTTCGATATTTTGAATTCGCTGCAAAAAGAAGGCAATGTCCTAAAAATGGGTATAATTTATTTACATGCATAAAATGTTAGCGAGAAACCTGTAAAATAAAACAATTTCTGGTGAATAACTTTTTACCAATGTGATTGCGAAACTATATTTGAATGACTGAGATTTTTACTTTGTATCATTGCGACAATCACGAATTAAGGTAAGTAAGAAGTACGAATCAAATTTTGGCCCAAATTTTACTCCTGGTATCAGGAGAACATGATACGCAAAGAGGTGGCACGAAGAATACCAGGTACGTATCGAAATTCTGGGGAAATTTTATATTTTGGTATCAGGAGCACATGATATGCGAAGAGGTGGCACGAAGAACACCAGGTACGTATCAAAATTCTGGGGAAATTTTATATTTTGGTATCGGGAGCACATGATATGCGAAGAGGTGGCACGAAGAATATCAGGTACGTATCAAAATTCTGAGGAAATGTTACGTTTTAGTATCAGGAGCATATGATGTGCGAGGAGGTGGCACGTTTGCGCCTACGGACAGGCAACCGGACCGACATATCTGTCAGTACCGATTGCCTATTTCAAGAGGCTAATTTTCGGTACATTTTAGGATTCTAGCCGATTTTGGATTTTGATATCAGGAGAATGTGATATGCGAAGAGGTGGCACGTGGAATCTTTGGTACGTATCGAAATTTGGTCAGAATTTTACTCCTGGTATTAGGAGAACATGATATGCGAAGAGGTGGCACGGAGGAAATAAATAAGATGTGTTTCTCCTTCAATGTATGTTTATTATAACATGTAATGTAATGATACAGAAGAATTAGAATGGCTTGATAAAAAATGGTAATAGTTTAGATCGTCTCATAACTTTGAAAACTTAAAATACATATCTTATTATGTGTACATGGTGTTAGGATGCGTTATAAGTTGTTACGATGTGTAAGGAGGTGTCAGGAATTGTTCAAAGGTGAATGAAAAGTTTGTGTCAGTAACAGGTGAAACAAAAATTGAGTTGACACCAAGGATGTGTGCCCCTACTATGCGGCAACATTTACGAACCGGTTTGACTGTTTGGTTGCCATTTCGTAGGCGCGGAGGTGCCGCTGCCGTGCAGCAACCTATTCTAGTTGTGTTGTCGGGTCGGTTGCCATCTTATAGGCGCAGTGCTGCCCCTACGGTGCGGCAACCATTGTGGCCGGTTTGTTGTTTCGGTTGCTATGTTGTAGGCGCAAGTGGTTTCCCCGTTACGCGGGAACCTATTCGAACTGTTTTGTCGGTTGGGTCGTCTTCTCGTAGGCGCAGGAATGTCCCCGGAATGCGGCAGGAAAATTTATCTCGTTTTTCATTTCGGTTGTCTTGAAGTTGCTGCATGCTTGAATTCGCAACTACTGCGTTAAATGAAACAATCTTTGATAATCTAATTCCAACTGTAATTGTATCAATTACAATTTTGTTTTATTAATAATTATCTAATAATAATTTTAGAATTTTATTATAGTATATATTAATACTTTCTGTATGTGAGTTTTGTTTTGATTAGTACAGTTAGGAAAGAACCACCTTAAAAATAAAAATTTGACGTTTACATACGTTCTGTTTTATTTTACATTTTGTCCATTTCGAAAGGCTGAACATAGAACATATGTATATTCTAGTATAGTGTCCTGTACTTGAAATCCTGAACAATAAACGCCACCTTCGTTCCATTTCGCGTTTGTTTACTCGATGGTCGCGAAATCCATCGGAGGTTAACGCTAAGTGCTCGAAAGATGTAATAAAGTTACCTTACAATTCAAAGATCGGGAAGCCAAATCCATTCGTCGCTTTCGAAGAACAGGACCTCGAACGTCGTTCATCATGGGCGAAATCATGCAGCACTGGATACAAGCGAGGCTGGGCATCATGATAGACCTAACGCCAGACGTTTTTGGGCACTACACCAAGGACGGTAGATTGCTCTCGAAAATTCTGTACAGCTACGACGTGATAAACCGCGATCAGCTGGAGACGATCATGGAGACGCAAGATCCTGCCCTGTGCAGAGTGAACCTTAGGCATCTGAAGGTCTGGCTCCGCTTTCTAGGCATCGAGTGCGACAACGAGAGCATCGTGGAGATCTCCTGCGGCAAGGGCACCACGTCTCTGCGGTTGTTCTACAAGGTCTACCTCTGTTTGGAGAGCAAGGATAGGCTGCACTTTATTACCCTGCAGAAGGAAAGGGAGAAATACGTACCCACGTCGAAGAAGTTCGAGGTGACTGCAGTCAACGAGGATCCTCCGCCTTACCAACCTCCAGACCACCCTCTTGCGAAGAAACTCGTGGAGGGGAAGAAGACCATCGAGGATCACCGTTTCAAGTTTCCCATAGCTCTTCGAAGACTCAAACGGGAGAGAGACAAGCTACAAACTTGGAACTCATATCCCATCGTGCAGCCCGTCGAACACTGCGTTGCCGAGGTACCTACAAGGTAGCGAAAGGTAGCGTGACACAAAGCAGCAATGTAGAGTGTTCTTGGAAATTGGCTCCATTGTTTGCAGGTAGGTTAACAATACTCGCGAAAAGACATCAAACTTTCAAATCGAGGTCTTCTAAAATTCAACAGTGTTGGCGGGTTGCGCGGAAGGCTGCATAGGCATGCAACAGTGTACCAATAAATTAAAGGAAAATAAAATCCTATTTCATTCGTCAAATAGGAAACCCGCAAACAGATGGGTCATTATATAAGAACATCCAGTATCTATCACGAACACTCGCGTCATCTTGAACATTTTCCCTACTTTCCACGGCCTTGATCTGTCTTTCTCTCGCAGACATCCGACCCAGTGGATACACTCAAGGAAGAGAGCGCGGAATTGGATCGTTTCGCACGCAAGCACCGAATAAAATCGCAGAAATTCGAGGAATACGACGACACCTTTGGCAAGGAATTCGAGGAAGTCGCGGAGGATCCGCTGATGGCTAAGGCGTACGTCGATTGGCTCAAATGTCGCAGCAAACGCGAGGCAACCACGAACATCATCAAGTCGAAGATGCAGAAAGAGTTACTGTCGGAGCTCTGGGAACGATTAGCTCAACAGCAAGAGAGAGTTTTCGATGAGGCGATCGCAGCCAGGGTGCTGAATCAGTCAACGTACGAGAAACGAATTGTTACGAAGTTGTGCGAGGTACGCAACCAGAAGAATATCATGGCCGAGAACCAGATGATCTTCGAGGTTAGCTGAAACATAGTACATTATCCAAAGACTTCTTTTTTCTTAAATGTCAGCATAGGTCGACGTTAAGTCTCGCGTAGCTTGTAAATGTAATCCTCCCAGATTCCCTATACATAATGTATATGTTAAGTTTGTAGAAATAAAGTTAGAAGTATCAAAGAGTTGACATATGGTTGCTTAGAGTAAATGTGCCTTGTTTAATTTTCCAATACCTTCCTAACATTTTCTTTTCGTTAATTACGCTCGATGGTACATGTGATCGCGAATTACCACGATATACCTCAAACATAAATAATCAAATAAATCCCCAAGACTATGACGTCGGAGGCTAACGAGACAAAGATGCGCATGGGCTTGGAGCGCGAGAAGGACCAGGCCAGCAAGCTGCAGAAGGACTTCGAGATCGAGTGCCAGAGAATGTGCGAGCTCAGGCAAAGGCTTCACGAGGAGAAGCTGCGAAAACTGCAGGAGAGACAATGTCAATTCTGTCGCGAGACGGTCAAGGAAGTGATCAACCTCGCTCTGAAGATCGAGGACTATCGGCAAACGAACGATGGCCACGTTCCGGAGACAATTCTGCGCGAGTGGAAGACGATGTTCGTCAGGTGTCAGCCGATCGCCGACGACGAAATCGAGGTCGAGATCGACGTCGACACCGACACAGATAACGAGGAAGAAGATTCGTTGTTCGAGGAGATCTCGAAGATAAAGCAGGAGAGAATCGAGGTGCTGCAGGACGGCCTCTTGGAGGATTATCTCGAAACGAATCCGCCTTGGGACGCGTTCGCGCCGATGGTCGCCGAAGACGCTCGCGAAACGTTCGAGTTGGGTCGCGTTGTGCTCGGTTACGTCGTGCATCGTCTTCTCAACTACATTCACGCGGATATAAATAAACCGCGCCCCTCGTTGCCGAACGCGAAGAACGCCGTGATAATCCTCGGTATTGGGAATCCAACAGTGCACGAGTCCATCAGGCAGTTGCTGCAGAACAATGACATTCATTTGGTGAGGATGGAGGACGCGATCAATTACTGTCTCAAACAGTACAAGGCAGAGATGTTGGACGCGGAGTCGATCGATTTGAACATAGTCGCGGCAACCAACGAGGTCGTGAAAGAACTTCAACGAGGAAAGCAACGGATCTCTTGTTTGAGGAAAAGACGGGCCAGCTCAGGGTCCAAGTCCGAAGAAGCCGTGTCGCGGAGAAGCAGGTCGTCGATGCCTACGACGAAGAATGATAGTCAGACGAGCAAGATGGATAGGTTGAGCAAAGAGGAGAAGTCGCATACCCAGGAGAAACAGACGCAGACTCCTAGGAACTTGCCCTTTGACGATCTAGATCCTGTGTTGAGCGACTCGGCGTACATCGGTAGGCTGCTCGTGTATTTTTTGATCAAAGTATACGGAATGGTCCATAAACCTCGATTATTGCACTTTTTAACCTTATTTTCTTGCAATAATCAAGGTTAACTGTGCGAGAGGATTACCGTACTATAATTAGACATTATTTTTGTCGTTCTTGTATCCACCGATGATTGGAACAGGTAAGTGGGCTTACGAGTACCTCACGTTGGGCGAGCCGATCACTAACCAACTCACGACCAAGATCTTGATCGAGTACCTGAAGAGTCTAGATGGTGCCAAAGGCTGGGTTGTGGTCGAGTACCCGAACACGTACGAGCAAATGTCGCTGCTAGAAGCAGCCCTGACGGGTTCCAAGATACCTCCGGACCCTGAGCTCCTGGATTTCGAGGATGTTACGATCGAGGATGTCCAGTCCATCTCTCCTAGAATCGTTTACGAAGACGATGTCGACCCTGTCCCGTTGTACAGGCATGTAGAATGGAAACTCTTACCAAATCTTGAAAATTGATTTCACTTGTTTCAATGATATACTCGTCATGCGTAAAATTTAGTTACCACTGGTTATCTGAAAGTGTGTTTCACATATTAATTTGAGTAGGAGAAGCATAAGTGTAATATAGCTCGAATGACAAACTTCACTTTTCTCGTTTGCAACGGATCGATCCGCGTTCCTCTTCCAGGCAGTCGAGAATCGTGCCAGATCCGATCAAGAGGATGAAGGATATCCCTGCGACCACGTTCGCCAGGTTGTTTGTCAGAGTCGAGCAGAAGCCGAAGAGCTTCGATCACGAGGGAGAACGTTACGAGAGGCTGAAGAAGGATACCCCCTCGATAGACAAGTTCTATGCCTCTCAGAACGTCGCTTATCTGCTCTACTACACCAACTTGGACCTAACGACCTTGAAGACGTTGGCGAGACTCGTAATTGGAAAACACGTGCAGGGCAAGTCGTCCGAGGAACTGTTCGGAGATGCCTTGAAGGGCCACGATCGGGCCAAGGAGCCTCGCAGCACTGGCTCCAAGGCTCCTGTGGTTAGACGCATGCTTCCTGCGACAGACCTCGAAGAGGATAAAGAAGCAAGCGAAGAGGAAGAAGAAGAAGAAGAAGAAGAAGAAGTGGACTATGCCAGAGGCGATTTCGTAACTTGACATCCTTTAACATATTACACCATGATTTGAAAAATAAATAATACTAGACGAGGGAACTATTCCTTACTTCTTGTGATGTCTTCGAGTCATTTAAGAAAACACTCAGTGTGTCTTACAACTCTTCTCGTGAGACAATATTAAAACGATATTTGTAACCTCGATTGCTCCTACTTTAGAAATAAAAATCTCCTCCGTAAATACATTTCTGTAATTCATTTTCTTGAATACCTTTATCTAGTATTATGTATTTAGCTTCCAAGGACCAACCAACTCACTTTGCCTTCGAAAATATTCTTTTTACCAAACCTAGACCTCCTTGCTAGACACGATACGATCTCTTATACCTCGCATCATATAATACCTACAGATCTAAACAAAAATTTCTAGTTGAACTTAGACATGCGTCAACCTAGACCAGGGGACGCTAACTGGGAATGGATCGAAATCCCGTTGCCCTCGACGCTCGTGGAATGTTTGGCGAGCCTGTGGGAGGTCGCTGAGAAGATGTACACCGAAGGTCTGAAGGAGCTGTTGTTCCTGAAGAGCGTGCACGCATCGGGCCTCGTTCCGTACAAGGACTTCATCGCGAGGAACGCGTGGGAGTTCATTAAGAGACCGTGCAACAAGCAGGATCTGTTGAACGAGTTTCATTTCGCGTTCAACGAGATCGACGAGGACGCCAGGCATGATCTGGACGTCAAGTGCGAGCTGCATCGTCGAGTGGCCGATTTCCAGGCCCAATTGTGGGACATTTGCGACAAGAGGAGGCGCGAAACTGAAGAGGAACGTAAACGGTTCGTCGACAATGATTGGACTGTCTTTGAGGCGATGATGTTGTTCAATGTTTACGTGGGGATGGTTCAGGTTGAGGTAGGTCGATGATTGAATGAATTTTTTCTAAGCTTTGGACTTGAAATACTTCTGTCTCTCTTGACGATACAAAGATACGTCGCAAGAGGAATGTTGATTTTCCAATCTATACAGGTAGACTTATTCATCGACACGATACAAATGGTTCAAGACTACTACTTGGGAATGCTGAAGAGGCCCCTGCAAGAGTCACGTTTTCAAAAAGTCGTTCTGAACCGAATGCAAGTGGGCGAAGTCGAGCCCGTGAACTTTCAAGAACAGCCAGAGTCTCCGAAGCCCGGGGAGAGATTAACAGATCGGAAAGGGGCGAAACGGTTGAAGGGTGGTTCGCCTAAACCGGTTGCTGCTTCTTCCCCTCCGCCGGCGCCGGACTACGCTCTTCTGCGAAAGGAAATCAACGACTACTTGCTCGACAGAAACAAACCTTTTCGGAATTCGGAGGACGTATGCGTCTTCAAGACTATTCTAGAGAACGTCAGATTTGCGAGGAGCATCGTGGACCGTCTTTCTGCATTGGTAGACGAGATTCTCAAGAGAGAAACGACAGCGATTTCCAAGACCAAAGACCTTACGATCCATTCCACCGATTCGATCGCTATCAAGGCGGCAGCCAGAGGACACGATCTCGCGCTGGAATGGCGGTATGCCTTCACGTACGAGGTCGATCGAATTCGTCTAAGACTAGACACGATAGTCGCCGCTGCTCGATCGGAACTCGCTTTCTTGCTGGAGTCCATGCAAAGGATCTTCCATCGATTCTACGACGCCATCGTGGACAGGTTACTTTTTCCCATAATCTAGCTTGCTTTTCATTTTTGTGGATTCTCAATGTTTGGTCACAAAGGTGGCTGTGTCTAAACTGCTGGACAAAATTAGCGGAACACTTTTTTAAATGTTCATAATTATGAGAGTTTTTAATCGATTTCAGTGAAACTTCTAATTTGAATTTTGGTAGAATCAAATCGTCTTTTCTTTTACTTAATAAAACACGTGACACGCGCAGGTACTGGCACGAGATGAAGAGCGTGAACGATATGGCGGACGTGTTCTGTTTCGCCATCGAGGAAGGCAGGTACCTCGAGAAAGAGATGCTGCTGGAGGACGACCATTTCGTAATTCGATCAAACGTGTTCGTGATGAAGGTGCCGTCTAAGACGCTGACGACCGTGAAAGAGACCGTCTCGGACACGCGATTCAGAATCGCTCAGCTGGCACGATTGATGGAGATATTTCGCAGGGTCGCTCCGTTCGGGAGCATGTCGGAACGTGCTTTCGTTTATATTCTCCAGGACGTGGCGAGCCACGGGATGGAGGAAGGGGAGGAGATAGCCTTGCCTTGCTGTTGGTACCGTCTTCGACCTGCCGATATCACGACTCTGATCGACAGGCTGTTCGAATCCCCTGATTACGTCGATTGGCGGGAATTCGTCGTTTACGCGATGGACCTGCCGATCCCGTCGCATCGTGACATTCTTCTGGCGAGGGATCGGTTCAGAATCCAGGATCAGGACTTGAAGGAGGTCGTGACCGTCGCGCAGTACCTCTGGACGTCGTTGTGGTTCCTCGAGAGCACCGAGTCGGCCGTCGACGTCTTCAAGCTGCTCAGCGACGACTTCCAGAGAAATCGTGAGGAGCTCTACGAAGCAGAACTCTATCACTTCGATCGCGAAAGGTACGGCATGTCGCAGGATCGATTCAGGAATAACTCGACCGCTAACCTGAGGATCTTCGACTCGACCCCCGAGGAAACGCTCAGGATGATCCTGGCCAAGGATCTGTTATGTCGAATGTACATGGTCGATCGACGCACGGTTAATTACACCGCGCTGCTGTTGGCTTTGTGCAAGGACGAGAGTCCTCGCGAAGGATTCTCTAAGGCCCTCGCCCTGGCGATGGGGAGCAGAGTGTGCACCGACGTGGAAGAGGGTGAGCGGTACGTGGAGAAACTGTACGAGCAGAAGCGTGCTGCAAGGCGGAGTCAGTTGTCGCGGGAAGCTTCTCGTCACGAAGCTAGACAGGTATAGTTCGCACCTCAGGAGTTGGCGAGGCAGGCAGTTCGAGTGGCTGTCGCGTGACAGCGACACTTTTAATCGTTTGTTTGTATGTTGTTATAGTGCTTGCAGGGCTACTTTATTCGTCCATATGTATTGCACTTTTCTGATACTTTTTCTTACGAGACCTCTTTTTGCCTTGTCATCTTAATTTTCCATTACTTTATCTTACGCCACAAGCTTTCGATAACTTTTTATATTCTATGACTACTCATTGTAGCCATAGTAGTTGGTTTTCCGCTATCGTGTGAGCGTGTATGAGATAGTATATCAAAATGCCAAGAGTATATTCAAATGAAGAATATGTCACAGAATGTAATACTTTCCATATTACATCGATGTCGAGTTTCCATCGATGCAGAAGGTGACCATTTTGAAATGATGAAAAATTCTTAACGAACCTTGTACGTTAAGAAATATAAGTATACTAAGGAGCAGTTGTTTGTTGTCTCATAGTATCGTGAGAAACTAATTGGTAATGGGTCGATTCTTGGTGAAAGGCGCCATTATTGTCTGTTATGGATGGCACTAAAACACCAAAGGGGTTTGGTTCGATTAGAAGCCTGGGGTCTTTTAGAACTTAGCAGTCTATAATATTTATAGTAATTCTCTTACAAAGGAATCCTAGTATATTGAAAGGAATGGTGGGACGTCTTAGATAACCGAGGAAATCGTTCGTCGCCTGATGGACAGAGTCGAAGAAACTATCGGGTGGTCGGTGGAAAAGCAGTCGCTGGAGAAGCTCGACGACACGACGTCGGGACTTGTCTTCGAAGAGGAGATGGAACACGAGAGGATCTCGATAATCAGTTCGTCGATTTTCGGCGAAAGCGAATTTAAATTCCGACCCACGGATCAAGAAGACGTCATTTACTGGCTGCCCCTGGACGTTTGTCTCGTAAGAACATCCCTCTCTGATTTTTCTACAAACGAAAGGATTTAAAATTTATCGTGTCTTCGTGTCTACTGTATTCTGGTTTGCTCGATGTTATTTCAGACGGTCCTGGCTGCCGCATTGCCGTGGCACACCTTGAAACCGGAGATTTTCGTACCCTGCCGTCCGAACCTGCGGGATAGTTTAATTTTCGTGTACCAGGAACTGAAGGACGAGGACCTCAACGAGGGGGAGAACGTCGTTCTTGCCCATCGACTTCTGAATCACGAGTTCATGAAGCGTTTGTTGAATAGCGTCGGGAAGTTCACCGCCAGGAACGTGGGGAAAATGGTTCAGGAAATTCTACGAACGAAAGAGAATTCGAAGTCTGGTTAAGTCGCGGGGATTTCTCTTGTCCTTGTTCCTTTCGTTCGCAAGTTATTAATAAATCAAAGGACAAAAATGCACCCTCACCTTTGCCTGTTACTATTCTTCAAACATACATTGTATTTATAAAATATGTATTACTACCACTTTCAAGAGAGCTAAGATAAACTAAAAGGAATATAAACGACGGTAATCAATCGTTCGATAATTCCCAGTACGCGGCCAAGGCAGGAACGAAAGGGTTAACAAATCTACGCGCGCATTTTCCTCGGGAAGTCTAACTTCCCTGATTCCGCGACCTCGCTTACTGGTTAGTCTGAAAAGAAAAAGAACGAACGGATCAGGAGTCGCGAGGTTAAGAGGATAAGCTTTAACAAGATTTATTGTTTCGATACATCACGAGTGTAACCTGTGAAAAATTGTAATCTTCCAGGTAAATTGAGAAGATACCATGTTTTACGTACACGAGGATAAATGTTTTTTTTCCTTTCCTTTTTTGCGTTTTTTTGTTGCTTTTGTGTTCTATTTTCTCCCTGTCCACGTTTCACGCTTTAACGATGGGCTTATGCTCTTACGGCGTACAAACGCGAAGTTTATAAAATGTCGTTGACTTTCGTATCAAACGTTTGGTATCGTAGAAACAGTCCTCGTGCTCGTTTACTGTCCGCGAATACCTTAATGCCTCGACACAAGCGACGGATTATAATAATAATCGTATGCGTCGGTATATACCGCGTTTACGCGCTCGCGCGTACGTGTATCAGACTATCGATTTACCGCCACATATAAATACTTACGGTCTTGTTACTCTACGCACTTTATTTCGATCACTATGTTGTCTTTGTCGATGAAATATTAGTAATTGCGCGCGTCGCGCGACACTTGGAACGAGCGTTAACCGGAAATCAACAAAGTATGTACAACGAGTCGCAGAAGTGTTCATACTATTGACTTTAGACTGTTTACAACCTTTTGGGGTAAATGCTGAGGGATCATTATCGATCAAAATCTTGATAAAATCAAATTAAAAGTCTGTATGTTTGCAATTTCTCCGTGACTATTACTATCGTTGTTCAATTCGGATGAAACAGTTGTTTTAGTACTTGTACGCTTCATCGTCTCGGCGCGCTGATGACGCTAAGTGTAGCACCAGCAACTATCTACTGTTTGGTCCATCGTGTAGTGGAAACATAATCAGGATTTCGATAGTGAATATTTTACGTAAATCCATTTTTCTGGTCATATTGAACGAATACAGTATACATATTTATCGATAAGGATCCCAACAAACATTTTGTTCTAGAAATGCATCATATGCGTTGGAAGAAGTCAACGGTTCAGGGAGTATGGAATATTTCTGAGGCTCGCTACAAGTCGTCGAAAATGTACAATTTATCGTCCTGCGTACACGAAACGACTAAATAGAAAAATAAAAGATTTACCTCTCAAAACTCGTACTTGACGCATCGTTCACAACTCACGCGAGAATATCTCTTTCACTTCGAACACCTTATATCCGAGGAAAACAAAAGTGAAATCTAATTGTAAGACTACTAATTCGAAGAAAAAAACGAAAACGTTCATTCTCAATACGCGTCGATAAAACACGTTAGACGTTTCCCGACGTCCCTTACTTATCTCGACTACCTATGATATTACCGATAGTATTCGATAACGATTATTACGGTACAGTGTCCTTAATTGTAGGATGAAAATCGCTTCGAACTGCGTCGTTCGCGTGTATCGTTCTTCTCCGAGTTCGATCTCCGTTCGACGTCAACGAGCCCGTCCAAGAACTTCGCGCAGCGAACAGCGTCGGATATCCGATCGTTGCGAAAAACGACCAACATCGATCACTTCTCCGATGACGCCGTTTGATAATCCGATCGGTAGGAACGAACGATTAAAGGAGCGCGCAGAGGATACCGTTACAAACACAGACGACGTGCGAAAGGCCTCGATGACGCTTTGCGTCGCTCGAAGCTCGATAACATACAACAATTAAGTAATTTCCATCTTCAACGATTATTTAATTGGACGTCAAATTTCCTTACCCTTTCGCACCTAAACGATCCAACGAGCGTTGTTTCGTTTCTTTAACGCTGGCCGATATTGCCAATCGCGAAAAACAATGGAAAAATAATTTTCGATCAGTTGCCACCTAGAGTTTCCTATTCGTCGACGCAACGTTGCGCGTTCTCCAAATACATATATTATTGTGTTAAATATCGTTTACATTTTTAAACTTAGGTGGGAATATATATCGACTGATTTCGAGTAACGTGCGCAGCGATTCGAGGAATCTTCAAGCGACAGTTTCATTTCTCGAGGGCCGTTCGCACGTAATCGCGTAAAGGAAATTGGTCCGACCTTACCGCGCTCTCTCTCGTCTCTCGCGAGATTTCTGTCGCCGCAAAGAAGGTGCATTATTCACAGCCCGTACTCTCACCCTTAACGATTTAAGTATTGATTCCAAGCGATCAAACGTGGCGCGCGTAACCACATCTCCCATGGTATGCGTGATATGTTTGTGTTTCTTGTGTTTCTCGCCTCCATTGAAACGCACTTTCTTCCATCACCCACGCATCTTACGTTCGAAAGTTATTTATCTAAACGCTCGAATTCGGAAAACACACCTGAAACCTTGGGAAACTGACCAAGAGGGTTCGTATGTCTAAATTTTAATGGTCGAGGAATATGCCTTTCGATATTCGGATCCAAATTTTTTTACTTTTTGTGGTAATATTGCCTCGATTCGAGAGGCCTATTTTCCTATTGTAGATAACAGCAATCCAACCTGGATTGTTTGTTTCAAAATAAAGTTGTACAGGTACACAACATTTTGTCAAAAATGAATAAACCGGACTAATATTAAATTATACTAAAACCCTACGAACTTATTCCTCGTCCCAGTATGTACCTCGAGCCTCATCTTCGTACGACTTCACCCAAACTAATTCCAAACCTCGAATTTAGTCTTCCAAGCTTCCAGGTCAGATGTCAATCAATTTCGATGATAAATTACCTACCGATGGATGGCACCTCCCAATGATCGAGCGTGCGCGAATATTATCGGTCATCGTGCGAAATGTGTGCATGTACGTGCCGTGTATGTCTGTGTATGAGTGTGTGTACATATAGGTTCGAAGGAAATACGTATAAAATGCTAAACGACGAGCGTTCTCGAATACGCAGAGTTCCGTAATTTGTTCGCGTTACACGCTTAAGTACCGTTTCCATTGTAAGTCCGTCTATACAAGATCACTCGGGCGTCCAGTATAGAAATAAACCTTTCGCGACGCAATTAACGATACTTATTTGATCGATGACTACACGAATCCCAAACCAAAAAAATAGGCTTCTCTTCCCATATTCGGCTCGAGCGCGCCGTGATCGCGGACTTCGAATAGCAGTTTCCGTCGATCGAGGAATTCGATGCTTAAAGAACGCGTCCATCGAACGACGATTCATCGAGCTAGATCTCGTCTATAAAATGTTCTCGCCGCCACGCTTATGGTAGCTAGCGGCAAAAACTCAAACAAACGTACACCGTTTCGCTGGAAGCTATGAAAAGTAGTTCACGAACGAAGAACGCGATTTCCATCGTCTGTTCTACGCCGAACGCATCGCGAGAGTCCTCCCAATAACGTGTAACGTTTACTGGTGGAACCTACGATCGCGTACTTGTATTAAAATTCACGTGTCACGGGCGTGGCTGTGAAAATTATCGCGAAGAACAAGTATACACGGTAGGACTTCCTGCTTCACGTTACTTGGATGCAGGGTAGGTAGGTAGAGAAGTGATGAGTGAATTTTATTTCATTCTTTAAAATTGAAATTATTTCTTGGCTGTTTATGCATTCGTAAATTAATTAACATTCGAACTGAACGTACAGAGCTACTAGATATTTTCATAAGAAGAGAGTAAAAGTCGAATTAAAACATAATAAAAAGCAAGAATAATAAATAGACTGCGGATGTTTATGCATTTGTGGCAAGTGAAAACGTGAGAAAATGTATGAAATATCAATAAAATATATGTTGCACTGTTTAAGAGATAAGGCATAATTAAATCTGAATTCTTATGAAATAGAAATAGAATAAAGAAATAAAGAAATAGAATTATAATTATTTTGAGAAGATAGATAACTTTCAAATACATTGGAAATAAGAAGCAATAGTGGAAATACCTGTACCTGAATTTTCTCGTGAAGCAGAGAGCCCCAATTGATATCTCGAAGAAGGCGTACAAGTTGCAAAGGCAAAGGCGTGGATATCCCAATCAACCGCGCCGCGGTAGCTTGGATTTCTGGCTAAAACCGAGGGTATTTTTCACTGGAACTGTATCGAGTCTCAACGATAAAAAACAAAAGAGTATCGCGCAGAGTCCGGTTCGGCCGCAAGAAGCAACGCAAGCACGATTCGCGCGAACTCAATGGAAGCCAACTGCGCCGCCTGCTGCGAAACTGTCCTAGATACGCGCTGGTCAAGCGGAAACTCGGGCTACTAGCGTTTCGCGTAACGCGACCGAGGAAGCCTCAAACTTCTGCGGACCGTACGTACTCGCGTACGCGTATACGGGGTGTCTCGCCTAAAAGAAGACACGCTAGTCGCGACAAGACAACAACTATATCATTTACATTTAGATTATCGAAGCATGAATACATCGCAACGAGTATTTTCGTAGGATATTTTTCCAAGGCCATGGTTTTATGTTTTTCAAGGTTGAATAACGTCTTTTTCCTTGGTACGTTTTTAGTATCGTTCAACTTTATGTTACCAGTAAGCGATCCTTGATTCCCCAAACTTGAACTTAATCGTGAAGTGTCCGAGTGGCTTGGTTTAGGTGAGACACTCTGTACATAGTGCTAGACGTATAAAATAGCACATGACGATTCTCGGAATGCAACTAATCATTGCAGTCATTCGGATTTTATCACAACGTAACATTATAAAGTCATAATGCAATCATGTTCCACGATAAGTTTCACGATCGCTTATTAATATATCCACATCTGCGAAATCAGTAAAGTTACTTTACAACGATCATACGTGCGCGATGATATATCCTACTTCCGCGACCAGTTTCATTCGACGAATCGCCGTGCTCCAATTATGTTCGGCGCCGTTATACCTCTAGTGGACTCCGAAAACGACGTCCGTGGTAGGATCTACCCTCGTTTTGCACGTTTCTCTTCTCTTTTGCACCTTCCAGCTCGTTACTCACGCGCGCACACGCACACAACACATTCTCCTTTGGCACGTTAGCTCGTACGCTACAATTCTACCTTGCTCTCTAGCCTATCGTTGCGATAAAAAAATACGAGGAATAAAAATATATCACGTAACAACGTTTCTCCCGTTGGCGATCGCCGCCGAGAGAAACAACTCGCGAGGATCTTAAGCGGATGCAAACGTCGACGTTTCCAACGTTGGCGTTCCGGGACATCTCGGAATCTCCTTTCGAAAGGTGTGCATCGTCCTTGAAATTACCTGGAACCGTCCACCCACGTCTATTACCTCCCATTCGCTCGAACGTCACTCGCGACCGTTCGAGATCGTTCCCAAATAACCAACGTGTCGCACAAAGCGTATTTTCCCTTCGGCTGCTCGCTCGTTTTGGTACGAGCGAATCGATTCTCGGATCAGTTCCCGTACAGTCGCCGCCCCGGAACCGAACGCGAAACGACGATCGGCCGATCGACGTCTCTGGGCCTGCTCCACTATCCGATCCAAGACAGCCATCAGCTGGGCTGTGGGGGCGTCAACTTCACCAAAAGCCACGTGTACAGTTTCGGCTTCTGCTTGTTCACCAGCTCGTACTGAAGGTCGCTCAGCCCGTCCGTGGAGAACCGCTTCTTGCCCGTCTTCAGGTACTCGTACCTGAGTCAGATGGAATTCAACGGTTAATGAAACGATTCTCGCCGGACTGAGGATTATACCGAGTCACGTGATGGTACGATAAGGGTGCTTGAAGCTTTTGCTAAGCTAGAGGTCTCGCGCCGACCATCTGCGTGTTTAATTTAGTTAAGTGATGATAATAATAGCACTATCATTTTAAATGCAAGGACACCACGTTTTGATATCGCGGGAAAATGTTTAGCAACGAGGTAGATTTAACAATATGTAACGAGAATGAGTTACAGTCAGTCCCATAATAGTATTCGTACTGCATCTGTTCAAGTAATTTGTCTAATTTAAATGATAGGCTCCATGTTTTCGAATCAATTTTCCATTAAAAATAGAAATATGAATGAACTTCGCACACATTTGCAATTACGAATTTATTTGGAAACAAAGCATTCATTTAAATTTAAATTAAACAATTTTTTTTAATGATTATAGAGAGTACGAATACTTATGGGACCGAGTGTATTTTTAAATATACGCCATGAAGACCTTAATCCTCAACAGTTAACACGGGGTCATTGGTGTCTTCTGATGTTTCCGACTATTTAAACTATAGCAAAAATTCTGTAAAAATTCATGGCACTAGCTTCAGGTGCCTATGTCTACTAGAAAATTCGAAACGTTTTTGTTTTTAAATTTATAACTTTTGACAAAAGAGTGTTATTTTAAAAAAAGTTGACAGCAAAATAAAATTGATGGCCTATATTTTCAAGGAAAATTAATATGCTTTAGATATCTTGACGCTAAATGTTTAATTAATCTCCTTCAAACGTTCTCGATTACTTTCTCTCACGCCTAACACCTGTTTGGTACCCAAATGCTTTCTATGCGAGCCACTATTATTAACCTTTTGCGTTGCTAATGGATGTACCGAAATCAGAAAATTTGGACTGGGAAGATTTAGAAAGGATTAAGAAAAATCGACGTTTCAATGATCGAAGCTCACCTCTTGGGGTTGGCCTTCTCCTTCTTGTGCGTGAGCATCTTGTAGCGCGCGACGTTCGCCGGGTACCGGGAGATATGGAGGCCGTGGGCTTTTATCCTATTGGCCATGTCGTCGTCCTCGCCGCCCCAGCCCCAGAACACGTTGCTGAATCCGTTCACCATGTGGAACTGTTCGCGCGACATCGCCGACACGCCGCCGAATAAATCGGCGTACGGTAGCCTGCATCGACAAGGAACGTTTCGATAATTTATTTTCAAACGCCACCTCGGAACGTCCGCGGAAAGAACGCGCGGTTTACCTGTATTTGAACTTGTCGACTGCAACCGACATGTGTCTGGGCTGCTCGGGACAGGTGTAGAGATTTCTATCGTCTTCCGGAAGTAGGTCGACGTCGTGAAAAATGAAACAGTCGAAAAGTCGTTCCCTCAAGGCTTCGACGTAGCCGACGTTCATGAGCATCGCGCGGTTGAAGGACTCGCTGCCTGAAAACAGAATGAGAATCGGGGTTAGCTTTTCGGCGACGCCACTTTTAGCCACTCGCGTTCATTTGTAGCTGAATTTTCGTGATATTTACGCGTGACAGTGCTTTAGGATCTTGCTAGGAATTCAAGCTTGATTTTCGCGAGCTATGCAAAATAATATAGCTTTGTCCAATCTTTGCGAAATTCGATAAACTTTCAAAGCTATTCCTCGCAATTTTCCTCTGTATTTTCGATTTGGTTTTCCACGAAAAGTCATCCCCTTTTCTGATACACTACGGTTAGTTGAACATCCTCTGTCCAGATAACTGTGTAAAGAATACAGTCAAATTTCGGCTCGGATCGCTACTCTTTCAGTATTTTTCGGACACACGCGAGCGTAAAGAGGCACAAAAGCTTTGTGTCTTTGACATGCAAAATCGACGAAACAGGTTCTCCAGTCCATCATCGACGGAGTATTGACTCTGTCCCTGCTGGGTCCTTTCTGGACCTTGTAGTTAAGTTCAAACGATTTCCTTCGGTGCAACGATTTAAACAAAAGAATTGTCTCGAATTCCTCTTCTTTCTTAATAGACAGTCACAAAATTGCCCTTATTTTCTTGAATATGCATATTCTGTGTCTTCGCATAAATTATGCTGTTTCGCTATCGACACGATAGGACGATTGGAGACAAGGAACGCGTTTATTTGCGCGGGATGCTCGGTGCATTCGTTGCGGATCGACAAGCTCGATTTTCTACGTTGTACACACATGTGCATACATGTAGGTCAACCGAGGAACAACGTAACGCATGAGATCGCATGAAAAGGGAGAAAATGGAGGGTGTCGCGGGCAAAGAGAAGCTGATTTCAAAGGCGGGACGCATCTACCATCGGGTACCGTTGCCTAGGCGCATTTCACGCTTCGACTACCGCCCGTCTATCCGATTAGTTCCGTCTAATCCGGACTATTCGAATGGCTCAATAATCGAATCCTCGGCAAGCATTTGTTAAATCTTCTGAAAGATATTTTCAACTCTTTCCTGAATTGATTTTACATACATCATATTCTACCACATCTCAGGAAATGACGTTCCTTTTCAAATGTCATAGGTTCTAAAAATTATAATTTTCAATGAGGAAATTAGACTCTGTCTAATCGTTAGTTTCATTCGATCATAGAAGACTTACATTTCGTCGCTTTTCGTTAAAAATACTCTTCTTTGTCTATTAGAGAAATCTGTCTAAATTATGTTTGATATTTCCAAATGAATGTTTCGTTATAAATATATACATGAATGAACTTTACACTTGTATGTATTAATAATGAAATATTTATTTGAAAATAGCAAACCAATCGTTTAATTTAGACAGATTTCATTAATAGACATACACATCCAATATAAAATTTAGCAACAAAAGTTGTATAGTAATAATTTACGGTGCATATTAATTATTCATTGAAGGCAGTATGTGTCAACATATTTATGAACGAGTTTGTAGAAGATCCAAATATTTACAAAACCGACTGTAAATAATTATCCTGAAGAGAATTCCACGAAGGTAGAAACGTTGAACAAGTATTGTATTCAGAAACACGAGGAACTATCCCGTCCAGATTCTCTAGGACGTTATTCTAGAGAACGGCCGGTGTCCGACATGGTCCTTCTACCGACATTCGAGACCTAACCGTACCACCGCGACTCGATCGACTCGTTGTCTTCGACGACATCGTTATCGTCGACTGTTCGCTGAGTACGATGGGGAACAAAACGAATCTAGGAGATGGAGGGCGAAAACAAACGCCCCCGGAGCTTTTATTAAAATCCGTTGGCTGCAGCCACTTCTCATCGACGATGAATGCAAATGAACTCCGGCCCGCGGGTTTATTATCGCCCAAGAAAATTCTCTGTCGAGGGGCTTGATTAATTTTCACGTTTGTTGCTAGACAGCCGCGCTTAATAGAATCCCGACGATCGATCACAATTTGATTCGATAACCTCCGGGGATGGCCCCGAGCACGGACAGTAAAATCGCATTATTAATCTAATTTGACGTACATTCCGAGAGTATAATTCAGTCGCGTTAACGGACGACGCTTCTCTCTCTGCATCTACTTAGACGGAATGGGCAAAAACGAACACGACCTTTTTCTCCGAGAAGGAGTAACGGTTATAGGTCGCATTAAGGATAAGAGGATGATGAATGAAGACTCGAGAGCCAAAGAGGGGGAAATAGCAGCGACAAATCGCTGGACGTTATAGGTATACGATCTCCTTCGCTTGGGTACTTTTCGCCTTCTTACCCTACATTCAGGTCAGTCTCCAGAGATTTTAACAGTTCGATAATTAGAAGTAGACGTTCCGCTGCATTAATGGGCCCGTTTGAAAGGTGAATTTAACGTGTTTCGTCTCAGAGAAATGGAAGTTTCTGAGTCGAACGGAAATGTAAAAGATACAAGGAAGCTGTATTTTCTCACGATTGGCGCTGTATCTATCAAACTGTGCAGAATTTTGCAAAAGAAGCATCAGAATTTTTGTTTTAGTATTTTTCAATCAAAAGGATTCTATAGAACATCCTGTGATAAATGGAGCTAGAGTGTACGGCGTTTTAAAGAAGTAAAAATCTCAATTTCGTACGTTGTCAATCATTTCGATTAGATTCAATAATGTAGCGTACGAAGTGCCCTATTCGTTTTTTACGAGTCGTGAGATGTTTGAGAAGGTAAAACATGAAATCGAGGAATTTTCACGCGATGTTTGCACTTTTTCGGTAAAACTGTAAATCGTCATATCCCCGGTGCTATTTATGGCAGGGAGTTCCGCGAGGTACAACTTTTTTCCGCCGAAAAATAATACAAGAAAAATTGTTTCGCTTCTTTCGCGAGATTTTGCACGGTTTCAAAGAGATAGCGCGTAAACGGAAAAAATGTAGCGCAGCTTTTTTTACGTTACCTCTGAATTCTGAAAAAGGAAGTGTATTAAAACGCACCCTTCGAAACACGTTGACTGTCGGAGTTCGTACTCGTGAAAATTTTCACGGGGCCACAATTTTGCTTTTGTTCAACTGGAAATTATTCGAGGGGCTACTTTTCTTTTTTTTTTTTGGGCCAAAAACTGGATTTATCAGTCTTCTTTTAATAATGCTTTCGGTAATTCACGCTATGACCACGTTCACAATAAATAGAATGAAATTATTTCTTGTTAGATTTAACCACCAGGCTCGTCTCAATTGTGTTAACATTCTGGGTTCGACCGTCTGACATGAAATACAATATAATGAAATATAATGAAATATAGTGAAATATAGTACGTAATTTGTAAACAAATTTAACAAAGTCTTTCATCTACAAATACAAATGAACGTACCAAATGTCGAGTGTTACTGTCGAATGGTCGCAAAAAATCACGAAAATTGCCTCGAAGCTGCTCCAAATAAAAGAGTACCTCCTCGACACCTCAATTAATTCTTTCAGTTTCCCAACGAAAAGTCCTGTTAACCATGTACGAGTGGCGTTCAACGTGTGAATGCAACCAAGTGGCCCCTTCTAATTACTGTATTTTGAAAAAGCTCTCAGGACCGGTTTATCGCTGCAACGAGCGACGCAATCGATCGTGCGGATCGCTCTCGGTGATTCCCCGTTAACGAGACATCGGCGACCGCGAGGGTACGTTGTTCCCGTACGGTTACGGTAATAGGTACCTCGAGTAACGTTCCGCGACGCTCCCAACGAATCCGAACGATATTAACGGTGCCGCGGCGAATCCACGACAGCTGCGACTAATTGCATTCGCGTCTTCCACCTTGACGAGGCCGCGTGACTCGCAACTCTCCAGTGATTCCTGGTTCGCGTTTATCCCAACAGGTGCTGGATGATTTTCATCAGTGTCATCTCCGTGGCGAGTCTCGCGGGGAGTTTTCGAAACCTACTTTAACGCTTGCGGTACATACACTATATTCAATCTAGAATTGTCTGGCTGCTCGTTTGTTCCGCGAACAGGTTGATTGTTAATCGAGCAAAATAATTCGAACCTCGTCGTCCATTTACGACAATGGTTTCCATTCGACACGGATTTCTTTTCCCGCAGTTTTTCGTTGCGCGACGACAAGACGCATCGTCGGATGGCGTGACGACACCCCTGAAGCGTCTCATTAGCCGACAGACAAGAGGAAAATATTCTCGGGCGCTCCTCGCAACGGCGAAGCTTGGATAAAAATGCAAATACCTCGACAGGGCGAAGCGGCCGTAAATTCGTAGCTCTCGTTCCGCCCTTATTTGCGTTAAACGGAAGGTAGATCACGAGTCAAAGAGTCCGCTCCATTAATTCTTATTTGCGGAATCCGGCGCAGGCTTCGCGATAAGGGATTCTAGCGGCGAACGTAACGAGTTTACCTCTCTTCGAAACGAAACGAACTCGAGCCGAGCCAGACAAATCCCACGGAATCCCCTCCGACGATGGGAATTATTGAAATGCGACCAATCTAATTTCCTCGTTCGCATAATAGCCCGACAACAAACTCAGTCGAATAAACAAAAGCAGCGATCACGGAAACGCCGATCGATAAATATTAAAGATGACTGCGATTATGTAAAAGCAGAAGGGAAGTCCAAGTCGAAGGAAAATTGAAAATATTTAGGATTACAGAGATTTCTTCTTATCCCATTGGAATTTAGCGTAGGATCTGTTCGATATCTTACTGTACTCATAACTTGTAAAAGCTTCGGTTTTAAATTTTCAGTAAAAAATCATTGAATTGTGATAATAAAATAAAAATTGACGAAGCTGCGTTGCAGCGACATCCTCTATATTACGAGATAGGAGCTGTTTTACTTTTTGGTGTTAGGCTCAACCAACCCTGACATCTAATGGCGACCAGCTTCATCCTGATTATATCAGAGTATCAATATACTCGGAAGACTGAACGAGCTGGTGTGACGCCATGTTCCACTATTTTTCGATGCAAATTTTTCCTGATATATTTCAAAGTATACACCTTCGTGTATGCAAATCTGAATAGTCTACCTTCTACGGTCTGCGAGTTAAAAATTCTCGAAAACTGGCCTGTTTTTAAGTCAGTCAGGGTGGTTGCACCCCCTAACTCGGGCGTCCCAGAGTCCACGGCTAATGCTCGGTAACTCGGCGGATTAGATGCTGGCCAACGAAATCTGATCGTTGTTTGGTCAATCAGGAAAACAGTAGCGAGTGGTCGGACTGTCGCTGGCTACGGGTGCATCGAATGCACGCAGCCGATACCGCATTGCGGTATATGCAACAGCTATCGCTGCTCTTGTGTCTCCGCGATTAAATTACCCTCGAGTTCGACTTACGTAAGGGTTGCCGCGTCTCAGAGACCCTGACCGTGAACGACTGAGCGTCAGAGGTAGGCAACTGTATATCTATTACTTGTTAAATAAAAGTTCACAGGCCTTATCAAGCTTACAGTGCGATGCAACAATTCTGTTTATGGCCGCCTTCAGACGTACGGAAATAAATAAATAATTTCCACACGTATAATTCAATGTTTGTGAAAATCAGAGTAGGAAAATGTAGCGCATCGCACGTTTATCGCGAATTGAATTCAACAAAGATATTTTCAAACGTCGATCAATATGATAAAGGTATTTAATATCGTTCACGAGTATCGTCACACGCGATGAACTGGTCAACGAAGCAGGAACATATCTTGATAATGCACCGAGTGGCATGCCTGTCATTTATATGCCCGTTAATTACGTCGGTGTTCGCAAATATTGTCGGTGTTACATCATCGCGGCAAGTTAATTGGTTCTAACTGGTTTCGAGAATATAAAATCAATGGAAAGCTAACATCTTATCGCGACGTACGTTTACAGAGGTAATTTATTGAATTCCCTGATGCACTTAGATTGGTCGAGGGAATACCCTTATTTTATGGGACCTCTATCTTATATAGAATATATGAGTTATATACCATTGTTTTATGCACCATTCAATTTAGTACCACGTGAAATATTTTTGCATTTAATTGAAAAAAGTGTCTTTACGATTAAACATTTGTCTGATCACGGTAGAAGTAGGTACAAATGAAACAGGTTCGGTGATAAATTTCTTTTCGTCCAAGGATCATCACAGCTGATTGAGAAGGGGATCGGTGATGCGTTTCATCGAGAACTGACTGTCCCGTTGCTTATATAACAAAGAGTGTGCCGGCCGGTGCGGGCGGACCGATCGATGCCCCGGCGATTCGACGGGGATAAATTTAATTAAAAATCACGTTAACGTTTCGAACCAACTCCAAGAGGATGAAAGAGATATATCGTCGTAGAAGTTCGTTCGAGGATATCCGACTGATCGTATCGGACAAGCGACTTGGACCACTGCGAAGAAGTATATTCAGGAAAAGTACGAAAGGCAATCTCGAGATAGCTGGAGAAGTTCGATGTTCGATTTTTAAAATACGTCGCGTACGAACGGACACACTCTGTGGATGATTTGTCGCGATCACGGGTCAGTTATCCCCGATATACCCTAGCGTACATTTATAGAATTAATTCGATGGCATCCTTTGTATATTTCCATCGTCTTCGTTGACGTTTTGAAACCCGGGGGGGGGGGGAGGGGGGAATAAAATTTTCCTCTTTTACCGATACTGTTTCTTTCTTATTCCGCGCTCGCGGATTCATATCGAATAAATAAATAAATACATAGAGAGAGCTCACCTTTTTGCTCGATCACGAATATCTGGTAGTCGATCTGCTGACGGAGTAACATCGGATGAAGATTGTAAAGCAACGCTTGGAGATGCTGCGGTCGATCGCGAAACGGAATGATAATGGCAACGCGATGCCTGGCGACGCAATCCGCGGGACAACCTCTGCCGCCTGGTTTCACGTCGACGAACGTCTTTTCGATCACCGACATCTCCGGAGGTGACTTGCTAACCGCCAGTGGTCCAACTGAAAACACCCGATACACCCACTGGTTAACCTCGATTCGGCCAAACTTTCCTTTTTCTTCGAAAGGAATAAGATGAAGTGAAAACACGTTCGATCAATAAATTGGAATTGGTGGGAAAATGGCGAGGTCCTTCAGAAACTTTAAAGTAAAGTAATATACTACTTAAAAAGTTCCAGGACAGGCTTGTTTGCAAGAAACAGTAAAATGTAATTTATTTTTATTCCATTATGACGATATATGTATAATTTTTAATAACATTTATATGATGTCTACTTCAAATTCCTCGAGCAGTTTGGTTATATTAGGTTGGCCAAAAAATTTGTTCGGTTTGTGGCGATGGTTGTCTCTCTGCAGTTCAAATGGCTATTAAGTATTAACCCATTCACTGCCAGGCAAATTTAAAGCAAATTGCCTTGAACGCCAAAATTTAATACAGATGTGTAATCTAGTGTATCATTTCCTTATCTAAGAAAAATCGCTGTTTATTTGTGCGTTAAAATTCGAACGATCTTTTTCTAGTATGTATAGCGCACATCCCCAAAAGTTTTACTTAAAGTGTAAAATATAAAGTCTAGAAAAATTGAAATACTTAGATATATAGTTTCTCAAAATTATCAGACTGGATGCAAATATATTAAATATTACACGAGTTTGCGGGGACCTTTCCCTTTTCTAAGTCTGCAAGAATTGATATTACATGAATATACAAATTCACTCCTTTGTAATGAACGCCAACGTCCTTGGCTATGAATTCTGAATATGACATGTCGATCGAACGCAATCGATGGCTACGTCCTTTGTTTCGCGTCAGTTCTAACGAGAACGCGATACGTAAATAGCGTAGAAAAGATGAGAAAGAGAGAGAGAGAGAGAAGGGAACGAGAATCCCGCGTGTACGTTTGTCGTTTCCCATCTTCCTACGAGGGAATCCCGTGGGTTAAATAAACGAACGCTAAGAGCCAATGGCTACAAGGTTGGATTCACCACGTCCGAGCACTCTCGTGAATCAACTGTTTGCACGAGGAAGCCTATTATTGCTTTACTCGGTGGAACAAAGCGGTCGTTTCGTCTTTATCTTTGCTTTGCTTCCTTGCAACTTATTGCTAGCTTGCAGGGGAGTTGGCCAGAGCTTATCTCCTACTCGATAATAATTCATGTTCCGATTACTTAAATGCTAATTAATTTAACGTTCAAGACTAATTGGCAGAACAAGCATTATAAAGTGTGAACAAAATTAAACTAGCCATGTATAAGTAGTGGAAGAAGACGTAATAATAAATTGTCTTAGCAGGATAAGGTAACGAGGGTTAAAATCTTGATGTCCCGAAGTTTGTGGTACATAAGTACGTGTGTGGTGATAATATCAAAACTGTATACAAAATTATGTTTGAAAAAATAAAAGATGGATTCCATTAAAGCCGTTAAAAAGCAGGTCTATTTACGAGGAGATCCATTTGCCACAAACCGAGCGAATAAAAATAAAAATTACGATATCACCCCGAAATTGGAAGTCGTTTACATGGTAGCACTTATCGAATCTTTGGCTCGTTATTGGAAATTCGTATCGAGATAAAAATTTCGCCTAAACCGTGCGAAATTCTCATTAAATTGGAATTTATCTACGAGGGCATTTCGACGAAATTCAGCTAAACTTACCGAGATTTGGCGGAATGAGGGGGCATTGTGGCAACGAGGTGGTGTTCGTCGAGTTGGCCGTCGAAACTTCCTGGGAACTTCCAACGACGTACGTGTTCCGAGTGGGGAACGCGGTTTCCAGCTTGGAGAAATTCGAGTGACCCCTGCCGGGCAATTGCATGGTCGTCGCGGTGCCATTATTGTTTCCGAGCAAACTGGGCACCGTCACGGGCCCGTATATTATGAGACCCCGCGGATGATGCCTGTAGGTGCGATCGGCGTACCTGAAAACAAAAAAAAAAGAAATCAACGATCGCGTTGGAATCGAATCGCGAATATTTTTAGGCTCCGCGTCCCGAGATTTATTCTCAGCCCGCCGTTTTGGCGCGAAGCTTCCACGCGCGAGTCACGTATTTCCGTCCCTAAAGGCCTATTAAAGCGAAATCTAATTAAAGATGGCTCGAAGTGGGGTCATCGGGAAATACTCGTATCGTTTCCTTTCTAACCGGACTAAAGAAAGACTCGGTTGCCTGGTCAACCGCAACTAGGGTAGACGCTTCCCAATCGATGCCGTCTTGAGCATGTCTGGCAATCTTATCCGATAACTTTAGATGCTCGTCGTGGTTTCGAGCATAGTATTACTTAGTTACTCTTTTATGGCAGAAAGTCTACGAGTATCTAGAATAAAGTACATTTTCTTCCATGTGACAACGGAGTTTCCATGTATACGCCCTTTACTGTTTTCCTTTACAACTTATACAGTGCGTAAAGAAATGTTAGCACCGTGAACGCTTTTAACTGTAACTCGGGAATTAATGATTGAATCGAGCTCAAATTTGTCGAGTATATAACTATATAGCCCGGTGGTAAATGTTTCAATAAAATCGCAGCTAAAAGTATTGTTCTTTCAACGGAAGGCAAGAAAATATTTAGTAAAATTATTAGTAGTATTTAAAAAAGTTAGCGGTGCTAACATTTCTTTGCGCAGTGCATGAGACATGCCAACAAATTAAATTAATTTCTTCCATCGGAAGTTTTGGCTATTACTAGCGAGCAAACTTGGAACGTTCGAAAATAATACCGGGAAAGTTTTGCAGCGACGGTGCCAATTTTTCTTTTAAAGGGATAAAAGTGGACAATGTTTATCTGTTATTCTACTTGGGCGGAGTGTCTCGACGCTTTCTGTACTTCTGAAGTCGCGAACTCCCCATCGTGGAAAAGTGTAAATACAAGTTTCCCGTGCGGAGAAAGCTCGTTAATCTGGAATTTTCCAGCTACTCGTCAAATATTAATCAATATCGATTTCGAATGCCTTGTGCACGCAGGGACCCAATTACTACACCAGCCATGTCTGAATTGTACGAGCTATGCGAGCGTTAAATGTACCTCGAGGCGGACTCCGCGTCACGCGCTAATGGCGTCGCACGACGATTAGTAAACCGTTCTAACGTCTAATCGCGACAGTAATTTCACAAGAAAACGACGTCTGACGTAAACGCGGGTTCGCGATGCCGCGTTTCTCGAACCGCTGGTCATCGGATGAATCGCCGATCCACGGATCGACGACCTTAATAAGGCGCAAACGAACCGAACCGACTCGAGCAGTTAACGACGATCGACTACTAGGCATTTATCGCGTGGTTAATTTCAAGAATCTCCAGGGAAATAGCTGTCCCGCTGCTGACGCAGCGAAACGTTGCGAACCGCGAGAACTTCTTGAGTCGACTGCTCGGTATTCGATGATTGCCGAGTCGAGGGAGTTATTCAGACCAGCGTTTACCGAACTTTAGCGATCACGTAACGGTTACATTCCTTTCTAGCTACACGGATCGCAATATCGAGAATACATATGATAGACATTTAAAGGAAAAACATATTCAAGGTTTCACTAAACCTACTGACGTTTCGTTTGTATCTATTAGGTTGAACCAAAAGTTCGTGCGTTTTTTATGTTGTTTCAGTTTGTGGCATTTTTTAGAGTCATTAAAATTAATTTCTTCTATATAAATAAGAAGTTAATACATTACAATTGCACACAAAAATTTGTTGGGAAATTGATCGGTGTACGAATGCATTCTACACCCAGTGTATCCTTGTGAGTTTTAATTGTAATCTGGTCAACAACAACTAGATACATTCTCTGGGATATATACATACCTACTACATAGTAGGGTCGAAAGCGTTAAAGACTCCTTGTACTTAGATGCGAACCACATGATAGACGAAGTCGCGGAATATTAACGCGGATTACTCGCGGAAATCGTCCCCGAATGGTTTACTTGGAATTCCCGCCGATCCGGCGATATTCGATGCATTTTGACGAGGTTGTCTCAGCTGTTCTAACGAATGTTCAATAACGCAGACGACTTGTGCCCGTCGGAAAGTACGGGACGCATAGTAACGACGACACGTGGTCGGCATGGCACGTTGATACGAGTTACGTGTGCGGTTCGACGTTCCTCTCAGTCACTTACGTAATCCGAAGGCGCCCGATAGCCTCGCGATACGAGGGTGGCGTCTGTTATTTTGCTTTTCCATCGACCGACTAATTCTGTGGCGACACGTCCGAGCCGTTAGCCGCGGCATGTTAGCGGAACGCTCCTTCGCACACAAATGTAACGCTTTCCACGACCTGGTGTACGGACGACCCCAGGAAAAGCCAACCGAACGACAACGTTTTCCGCAAACAACTTCCCAGCCATCACTCTCAGGCAGATGCCGCGAATTTTATTTCAACTCGACGCTTCGACAGTCCTGTGGTTTCACGCGAAACCAAACTGTTACTGACCATATTGTGATCAGGAGGTATTTATTGCGTGGTATATTATTCATTCGCAACGATGTAAACATTGCTATATCTCACGTTTAGAATATAATTTACATACGAATGGAAAGTCAACGATATAAAATTTATTATACGGTGGGTAACAGCAACATTACGAGCCTCGATTTCGAGATGCAATTAAAACGAATATCTTCGAATTGATTAAGCATTTATAATGTACACAGTAAAACTTACTGTTCGCTTAAATATTAATAAGAATCACGGTTCAGAATAAGTATTTGTATTGAAATTTGTATACCTATTGATTTGAATAACTATAAATTAATTTATGGCAGTAGTTCAATTAATTATCAACAATATTCATTCGGAGGTTCATTATTTAAACAAACCTATGAGACAATTGGTACATATTTAGGAACGAAGAAAACTGATTCTATGTATACTAAAGTATAGTTTCCTCCAAAAGAATATAACCTCGTCGATAAAAGCCTTCTTTTTGTGACGCTTAAAAGCTCAGTGCGGCGTGAAAAAAAAAGTACTCCGCGACGCGAAAGTTTGCCCTGTCGAGGATTTAGGAAAACGATTGACAGGATAACGAACTCGAGTTTGAATCCCTCGACGAGATACATTACCGTTAGCTCGCGAGAAGTTTGCGAAGAAACAAGCACTTCGTTGAACTTTTGAGATTTTTGAAGTGAAGAGAATAATGCAGTGTTTCCACGTGCAAGGATTATCGGCGCTAGGAGAACACCAGCTCGACGGATATCGATACGTGTTTTCACAGTTCTGAGTAGTTTTTAACTAGCGTCAATTGCTATCGAAACATAGTAAAGAAGATACATGTTTCAATTAGTAGCACGTCTAATGTAAAAAAGTATATTAGCGTAGTTCCACGCGGAGCGTCCAAGTGTTCCGAAGCTGCTCGTTTATACTACTGAGGTTCGAGGTCCATCGAGCCGTGCTTAATCCAACCCCTTCAGCTATCCAAAACCGGGGAGCGATTATCGTATCAACCACCTCTCTTCGTTATTCGATTCATCGGAACAGGTAGTGGAAGCTCCCCCTTTGACTCCAGTCTCTCGTATCTATTGTTCAGTATTTACTCACTTTGACCCCAAAATAAACCCAAATCTACTTCCCTGTCTCGCACGTAAGAAAACTGGAGCCGTCGATCCTTGCACGCGTAAAATCGAGTTTCGCATCGGGATCGATCCTTTTAGCCTACGACAAACTTTAAAAGCGACTCTTTCGACTCTCGAGCACTTTCTTAATGCACTCTCAGCCGGAGTTTTGCCTTCTAATTCGCCCGAGACTACTCGAACAGCCTTTCAAATATTCGCGGACGACGTTAACGAGCGCGATGCTGTCGCATTCGTTCGTCTCGTTTCTGTTCGTTTTCTTCCTTCGGCTCGATTCGAGATTCAGGTACGGGGCATCGCGAGAAAACGATAAAACGGAATTGCAACGGTCGCTTCCCACGAGACTCTTCCACGAGTTTCATTCATCGGAGCGCGGGCGATATTTGCCGAATTTACAACACGCCGCGTTCGTTTTCTTTCTTCTTATCCTCGTCGTTTGCGGGGTTGCTCCAAACGAAGACGGAGGCGAATTCATCTCTGAAGCGTTTCTCTACTGGCTATATTCGATCGACGATACAATCGCACGAACGTTTTTACATCGATCGTGGGTGTGTACATCGAAGACTGCAGAAGTATAATTTGAAAACAATACACCGATGGTATTTTTGTGGAAAAATTGTCTGGTGACACTTGCGCAGAGTTGGGACTCTCTATCGAAGTTTTCTGTCATATTCTAATATATGTAATAATTTTCTTCTGAACATATTTAAAAGATTTATGAATTTATACGTGTCGACGAACTCTGCTTATATTTATTACAATTTCATGAATTTATGAATCATATATTATCATTCATAAATGATAATAACAACCTCTTCCCTAGGTTCTCGCATAAGAAGCTGCGAGGTTCGGCTGTCTATCGAATAATAAACTTGTCAGTCAGCTGGCGCCGGAAACCGGCGGCCGAAACGAGTTTCCGCTCGAACTTGATTTGAAAACCACTTGTCAGCGACGAACCGTGTAGTAATTTATGGCCAAGCATATGAAATCATCGGTAGGTAATTGAACGCGAACGTATGCAACGCGACGCGCACAGGATGCACGCGCACCGCATGTGGAAATAGTGGTCGGCTTCGATAACGCGTCCGAAAATCGAATTTAATTCGCGCAACGATCGTAAAAAGAGCATGCGTACAACATTACTGAAACTTTATCGACCAATCTAATCGTCGTACCATACAATGGATTACACATTACGGAGAAAGCCTTCTCAATCGCATTTTTTTTTTAACTTTACTGAGCTTTACTGTAAATACAGCAATCAAGAAAAATGAAGATAACTCTGTGCCCTTCAAATTCCCATTTTCGCCGAAACGAATCTGAGCGTTCTACGATGACTCAAGCCTTGTCAACTGAATAA